TCTAATATGGTGGTCAATGGGAAAGGCAATATTAGATTAGAGATAAATGGATTTATTAGCATTATTACAAGAGTGTTTTACATGCTAGAATTAAAGAACAATCTACTTAGTCTTGAACAATTGCAAGAGAAAGGGTTGACTATTATGTTTCAGCACAAGCAATGTAAAGTATATCATCCTGAGAAAGGCTTGATTATGAAAACAAATATGTCTACCAATTGGATGCTTATTTTACATGATATATCTCTCCCTATAGCACCCACTTGTTTCAACGCTGTCACAGAAGATGTATCACAACTTTGGCATTGTTGGTTTGGGCACTTGAGTTTTAAAGGCTTGCAAACATTGCAACTGAAACAAATGGTGGATGGCTTACCATTTCTGAAGTCTCCCTCAAAGTTATGTACGGATTGTCTTGTGGGGAAGCAACAAAGAGATCCATTTCCAATGAAAAGCACTTAGAGAGCTTCACAAATCTTGCAACTTGTTCACTCTGACATGTATGGGCCAATTAAACTCACCTCCAACAATAAAAAAAGGTATATGCTTACTTTTATAGATCATTATAGCAGAAAAACATGGGTCTATTTTTTGATAGAGAAATCAGAAGCCTTTGTTGTTTTCAAAAGATTCAATATGCATGTCGAGAAAGCAACGAATTTGTCACTTAAAGGCCTACATGCAAATCATGGGGAAGAGTTTACATCTCAAGAATTTAACATTTTTTGTGATGAACATGGAATAAAGAGACAACTAACAATTGCATATTCACCGTAACAAAACGGAGTAGTTGAACGAAAGAATCGAATCATAAAGAATTTGGTTCGTAGTATGTTGTTTGAAAAGAATGAGCCCAAAACTTTTTTGTCCAGAAGAAATAAATTGGGTAGTCCATGTTTTTAATCGTAGCCCAACATTAGCGGTGAAAAATAAGACACCTGAAGAAGCTTGGAGTGGAATCAAGCCTTCAGTTCATTACTTCAAAATTTTTGGTTGCATCTCTTTTATTAATATGCTTGACAATACAAAAACTAAGCTTGATGGGAAGATTTTAAGGTGTGTTTTACTTGGAGTCAGTGAGAAGTCAAAAGCTTACAGGCTATATGATCCAATTTCACAAAGGATTATAATTAGTAGGGATGTAAAATTTGAAGAGAATTAAGAGTGTGAGTGGGATAAGAAATATGATGCAAACATTGTGTGTGAGTTGGAATAGGAAGAAAATGAAAAGGAAACAATTGAAGTACCATACGGAGAAGAAGATACTATTGATATAGAATCAGAAGAGATTTCTACTACAAATGAAGAAACATCTCCATGTCCAAATGAAGGGGGAATAAGAGACAACCTCTATGGATAGGAATTACGTGACATGAGAAGGTTTTTTTGATGATGATGCCTATTTTGCTATGTATACAGCAATTGCTGACCCTATTCATTATGAAAAAGCTACGAAGAGTGAAAAAAGGAGGAGGGCCATGGATGCGAAGATAGAAGCGATTGAAGATAATGACACATGGGAGTTAGTTGATTTACCCATAGGAGGAAAAATAGTTGGAGTAAAATGGATCTACGAGACCAAACTCAATGAAAAGGGAGAGGTAGATAAGTTTAAGGCAAGACTTGTAGTAAAGGGGCATGCTCAACGATATGGGATAGATTATACAGAAGTGTTTGCTCCTATGGCTTGTATGGAGACTATTCGTTTGGTAATTGCATTTGCAACTCAAAGAGGATGGTCCATCCATCAACTAGATGAAAAGTCAGCATTTCTACAAAGGGAGCTAATTGAAGATGTATTTTTTATAGAACAACCTTGTGGTTATATTCAAAAAGGGAAGGACCATAAAGTCTACAAGTTAAAGAAAGCACTTTACGGGCTCAAACAAGCCCCATGTGCATGGTACACTCTTATAGAAGCCTATTTTATAAAGGAAGAATTTTCATAAATATGATTATGAGCATACTCTTTTCATCAAAGCAAACAAGGAAAGCCACATTTGAATTATAAGTTTATATGTTGATGATCTCCTGTTTACCGGAAATGATGAATTGATGATTGTAGAATTTAGAAACTCAATGAAACATGAGTTTGATATGATAGATCTTAGGAAGATGAAGTTTTTCCTTGGCCTTGAAGTTATGCAAAAATCAAGTAGGATATTTATTAATCAAAAGAAGTATGCCTAAGAAGTGATGCTACGATTTAGAATGGATCAATGTAATTCTGTCTAAACTCCAATTGTTCCTGGTTTCAAGCTTTTGAAGGATGAAGGAGGAACCAAGGTTGACAAAAATCATTTCAAACAAATTGTGGGATGTCTGATGTATCTCAAGGCCACTTTCCTAGACATGGTATTTGTGTTGGGATACAAATAAGTCCCACATCGATAAAATAAAACAACAAATAACAACTTATATAATACAAACATACTTCAATGATTGAGAGGCCTTTTGGGTGATGACCAAAAAGCAAAACCGTGAGGGCTAAGGTCCAAAGCGGACAATATCTCATCATTGTGGAGTATGTTTGTGTAATAACCTTATAAACATAACTCATAAAATATCCTCTCAGACAAATACCATAAAATAACCCTATCAATTTGCAATATGTCTATTGAGCAGGTATGTGGAGAATCCCACTAAGCTTCACTTACAACTACCAAAAAGAGTGTTGAGGTATTTGAAAGGAACATTGGAGTATGGAATTTACTATAAGAAGGGAGGAAGTGATGGACTTATTGCCTACATAGATAGTGATTATGCTGGTGATTTGGATGATAGATAAAGCACATCAACATATATTTTTCTTCTATGTTCAGGAGTTGTGTCATGGTCATCTAAAAAGCAACTCGTAGTAAGTTTGTCCACCACTATGGCAAAATCTATTGTTGCAACATCCTATGCTTGTCAAGTTGTTTGGCTGAAAAGAGTGTTACCAACATTGGATCAGACTCAAGATGAGACAAATACTATTCGTTGTGATAATAGTTTTGCAATTAAACTCTCAAAATATCCAGTAATGCATGGTCGCAATAAGTATATAGACATTCGTTTTCACTTTCTATGAGAACTCACTCATGCTAGTACAATAAAGTTAGTTCATTGCAACACTTTGGAACAATTAGCTGATGTGATGACAAAACCTCTCAAGTTGAATGATTTCTTGAAGCTGCGAGTCTTACTGGGAGTTTGCATTGAGACTGAAATAAACTAAATGCTTTTAGCATATTTAATCTAAGGGAGGCATTGTTATGATTAATTCAAATTTATTTAGCAAGTTAAATAAATCCCTGTTTTTATGGGATTGTTACTGTTCTTATCTTTTAATTTGTAACGTTAGCAGTAAATAGCTTGTTCTTCGGTGTTCAGTTTTCTTTGTAAGGCTATATATACCCAAGTTATTTCCAATTCAATGCAAATACATTTTTCCTCCCAAATTACTTTCAATTAAGTTCATTCCTTAGTGTTAATAGGGAGGGGCATGAGTGCCACTGCAACGAACTTGAGGGAGGTGGTGGAGGGTAGTAAAGGGTGGTGGAGTGGGAGGCCCAAGTGAGGTCAAAGTTGTTGGAGAAAGAGTCCTGATTGTAAAGTTTGTTTTTTCTATTGTGCATGGTGCTCAACGAAAGAAAATTGGAAGGGGAGAATAGTTTAGTCGATATAAAAAAGGGATGAAATATAAATATAAAATTGGAATTGATAATGAAAATATGCACGTGAAAGGAAGGTGCATTTTTAATTGATGTGGCAAAATTTTATTAATGGGACAACGAGTGTGAAATAAAAGATTTTCATCCAGGAGGGATGAAGGTGCATGTTGAGAGTGAGTGATTATGAAAGGGGTGAGTTAAAGAAAAGAGTGGAAGTTAAGTTAGGGATAATTTAGTCTTTTTAGTGTAAGTTCCAAACATTAGGATTTAGGAAATGTTTGTTTTACCGATTACAAATTAATTCCTATATACAAATCGTATTCTTATGATTATTTTAACTAGAAAGTTATTTACATGTATACTTAGAAACACATGCTTGGTTGCATCTTAATATTCCTTGGAATATTTTTAAATTAAAAATAATTCAAATAAAAAGGAAAAAAAAAAAGAGAGTTAGAAGTATGTTAAAACATAACTTTTTATATTCCTATGAGAATAAAAATGTAGAAAACATGGTGGGATAACTTTCTTGGGAATGAATAATACTTATGAATAATTTTTCAAAACTTTTAACAAACACAAGAAATATTATATGTCTATACTTACATTCCTAGAAATTAACTTATAATTCACGAAATAATAGTTTCTTTATGAGTTTGAATATGGTTCCGCTTGTTGGATTAGAATCAGGTTATTTTAAAATAGTATTTGGGTTTCCAAAACAAAATTATATCCATCTTTAAATATTATTTCTTATTTCAATATACATATTTTTGAAACTACAATAGATATGTTTATTTAAACATAAAAAAGGAATATTATTCGTTAATTATATTATTGTTATAATTGATCTTATAATTTTAAGCGCTTAAATTCGAGTATTTGATTTGATAAAAAAAATGATGACGAAAGAAATAATCTTAATACAATTAAAGTTGAAATATATAGTTCCGACAAAGTTGGAAGATTCTCCTACCAGTACCATGATCCATTGAAAAAATAATTCTAAAAAATCATTTATTTTTTACCTTTACTACAACAGCAGAGCAGCTTCTCTTTAGAAGTATCTTAGAGTTACCTCTTAAAACAAAAACAGTTTTCTATTTTATTTTGCTTCTTTGTCTTTAAAAAATTTATCCAAAAATATAAAAATTACTAATAAGTGATTATTCCATTAAAAAAGGATTTTTTTTAAGTTTAAATATCGGAACCTGTATCTTGATTAAAGAAAACAGCAAATTCCGATGTTTAAGAAAACAGCAAAAAGATTCTCACATCCTATGTAAAAAAGAACCATAAAATTCCTATTTGTAAATTGTGCCAAAACACAAGTGGCCAAGTTTCAATTACTATTTGGGAACAAGGTTCCTTTGTCCACAGGAGCATTGCCATTGTCAGAGTGCCACCCTGTTTTTTTTTATTATTTATTTATTCATATCCATAAACAGGAGAATATCATTCTCATGGGTATGTAGCAGCAGCAGCAGCAGATAGCCTTATTGATGAAGATGGGACGAACCAAGCTTCTGCTTTCAGATTTCGTTCTGTCTTTCATGTGGGTATGGTCCGGTGTTCTCATTCGGATATTCCTCTTCAAATATCTTTCCTTCGCTGATGCACTTCTCGCTGAGCTTCTCAAGACAACCTTATCCGTCACCAACATGTTCCTCTTCGCCTTCCTCGTTAAGGTTACACGTGGCGGTGCCTACAACCCCCTCACCGTTTTGGCTGATGCTATCTCCGGGGATTTTAACAACTTCCTTTACTGCGTTGGTGCCAGAATCCCCACTCAGGTTCTGCTTTTCCTCTGTTCCCAATAAAATTGTGGGTATATCATGAATTTATGTTATGTGAAATTAACATAGGCACTGTGTCTGAAAGTTGGGATTTTTTTGCCCCCCTTTTAAATCTTTGTATGGTTAAGTCTAAGATTTGACTGGTGTTGAATTTCATGAATTGTGTTCCTTTTTATTCTCATTAGCCTGATTGAAAAGTTCAGGAGTTAGTTGGTGTATTTTCTGAATTTGGGTTAAGGGTTGTCTCTGATGTGGTTGTAAGTCAATTATTTGAGGAATTGTTTCCTCTGACTAGGATTTTGGATTGAATGAGCTTGTTTGCATTGCACCCTTGAAGATTTTTATTCGGCAAAAATATAATTTTTTGTCCCTTATATTATTTATCGGTGTCAATTTAGTCTCATTTTAATTAATTCAATCAATTTAGTCCCACATCTTTAAAATGTATCTCAATGTTTGATTTTCCGTTTTCTGTGTTTAAATACTTAACGTTGACACGTGTCATGCCATGTGTCATGTTATCATGCCACGTGTCATGTTATCATGTCACGTGTCATGTCATCATGCCATGTGTCATGAGTCTAGCCATGTGGTATGACACATGTCATATCCGTTAAGTATTTAAACGGAGAAGATGAAAAATCAAATATTAAGATACATTTTAAAGATGTGGGACTAAATTGATTTAATTAATTAAAGTGGGATTAAATTGAATCTAATAAATAATATAAGGGACGAAAAATATATTTTTACCATTTTTATTCTCTACCTGTGTCTTTGTACTGGCAATGGCAATAATTTAACTTAATATTCTCGTGTTGGGAACACTTCTGATCTTATTAGAATATCTCCAAATTCTCCATGTGCAGAAGATGGCTTAACTCCTTTTATAGGCAGTCTACTCTTTGATACTTTATTAGTTAAGAATTTGAAGCGAAATTGTTTCTTTGTTGATGTTTGGATTTGGCTCTGAAGATTTGAACTACGTGCTTTTCTTATGTTTTGATTTTATGTGTCTTAATATCATAAAACATGGGCTAGGAGGACTAGAAAGTTACTAAAATATAGCTCTAAGGGACGACAGTAACACATCTATCTTCTTATTTTGATTGGCGGCCTACTTACCTTGATACATCATAAATTGTTTTCATAGCCTGTTGTTATTCACTACGTTTTGATTGATGCATTTATGTTTTATTATTTAGGTAAAGATTCAAATTTGAGACTCATTGTTTATATAAGTAAACTCCATCTTTGTAAACTAAGCTAGATGGCATTTTGGAAGTTTCTTTAAATCCGTTGATCCTTAATTTCATGAATCCAACTAAATATTGCTTTAGAAATCCGCTGGATTATCAGTTTAGAGGCCTCTGTGCTTTGTAGATTCCTACTCTCTCTTGCATATGATCACACACAGAGGCTCACATGCTTTCACACACATTGCATGTACAGTTGCAGTCTGTATATAAAATCTTATTTGCAAACATCTAAGAAGACTAGTGAGAAGGCTTGAGATTTCTCTTACCTATTACAACTGTGTAATTCATGTTGGCTATGCTAGAAAGCAGCCTCATTACATCTTTGTTTCCTGTAGTTGCTTCTTATTTATTATACATCTCAAGTCTTAACCATATACGTGAATGTCTCAAAAGTCAACATGAATTGAAGATTATCATTCAAATTTGCATGGTTTTGAATTTCTCCAGGTGATTGGATCTATTGTTGGAGTTAAACTTCTTATTGATACAATTCCTGAAGTAGGACAGGGACCACGTCTGAATGTCGACATTCATCAAGGTGCACTGACAGAAGGATTACTAACATTTGGAATTGTTATCATTTCACTTGGACTTGCCATGAAAGTTCGTGAAAATTTCTTCATGAAGACTTGGATCTCCAGCCTCTCCAAGTTAACACTTCATATACTTGGCTCTGATTTCACTGGTGGTTGCATGAACCCTGCATCTGTAAGTATAGAAGAAACCATATATGATATATCAGAAAACTTTAGTTATGACTTATGAGAACCATAGAATAGAAGAACCCTTTGTTGTTTTCTCGCTAAGAAACCTTGTTTGACCTGTTCAGGTAATGGGATGGGCTTATGCTCGAGGGGATCACATAACTAAGGAGCACATCCTTGTGTACTGGCTTGCACCCATAGAGGCAACTATTTTAGCAGTGTGGACATTCAAATTTCTAGTCCAGCCTGTTATAAAAGATAAAACAGCCTCTAAAAGTAAATCAGATTGAAGGAATTTCATTTTATGCTAAATTTCATGTTCCATCTTGCTTTCAATTATTTTTTGTACAGTTGGTGGGGTGAATGTATGGCAAGCCAAGAACTTGTACAGGTGACTTAGTGTGTTTGGTAATGCGTTATCTACGCATGTTTAGCTTGATTTCCACGTCAATATTAAGAGAAAATGCAGAAGCTATATCGTATACCTTTCAAGTTAGTAGTTACATGCGTTTCCTTATTTTTTTAATGTCAATTATCCAAGATATGATGCAAAAACTACTTTGTTGAGCTTTTAAGGACATAGAATCACGATGGAAAGTATTACTTTACTCTTATAGGTTGATTAGAAAGAGTTATACCTCTTTATTAATAAAAAAAATATAGAAAAAGAGATGTGCCTCTGGCAACACATAACCAAACTTGCACTTCACACATTACCACCAATTCTCTTGTAGGTGTAACTACATATTGTTAGTTGGTTTAGAATGCATATTTGAATTTATTTTTTCACTTTCTAAATCGCATGTGTCTTTCTTTATTTGTAACCGTCGTTGAAGAATTGTTTTCTTTTCCTAAAAATGCTCTGATTGATGAAGATTTTACATACAGATCCCTGTTAAGAGCATAAATAAAAGCAAAAGTCTATACCGATATTGATCATACAAAAATATAAGTGCAAAAAAAAACATGAATTTAGGAACTGGATTGATGTCGAAAGATATACTTGGGGACTATATTCCATTTTAAATATCGAGGGAATAAATTTGTGTTTAAATCTTAGGAAAACTAACGTATAGCCTATTTAGATGATCTATGTGAATATTTATCGAAATCAATAAACATCCCCATCGTTAATGTCTAATATATAGGAGTTCGGGACATCGCCATAAACATTAATAAAATGAATCATGCACAGCATAACAAAATATGTAAATTTATGAAATATTCACTTTTTTAAGCCAACCTTCTGTTTTTTTTTCCTATGGTAAACAGCCTAAAATAATGACGAGACATTATTTTTGTTTTAACATTTCATATTGTATTTTAAGTTGGCTTACTAAGAGTTAAAAACTGAATAATTTTTTAACTATTAATGCCATCCATCCATATGTAGGTGTTGGTCAAAGTGTCCAAATTGGATAACTGTGTTGACTTAAATATTTAAACTGACAATAAATAATTTTTTAATTAAATACCTAATTAGAAGTGTTAAATATGAAATAAAAGTTGTTAGTACAAATAATTTGTCATTTATATTTTTTTAACTAAAAATTAAGATTCAATATCTACCTTGAACATGAAATCGTAATTGAAGATATTACTTTACCTTTAATACAAGGCGACTTAGAAAGAAATGTCAAACATGTATTGACCAATGTCAATTCGAACAAGAGAAGTGTTTTTGTAACATAACTTTTTAAAACTGCCATTGAATTAAAATTTAATTTGAATCCATAATTAACACCAAATTTATATAGAATAATATATATATATATATATATATATATATATTTTTACTAATTTTGTAACTTGAACCATCTCATCTCTAACTGTTAACCCAAATCCTTTTTCTCTAAGAACAAAGGAACTATTTTCCAGTGTGTTTTTCAATATTGTTGCTATTTGTGGTACTGTTATTAGGGATGACAAATATACCCGTACCCGCAGGTAATACCCGGTTTGACTGGGAACGAGTACGGGTATGGGTAAAACCCGATATATTAAATCGGGTACGGGTACGGGTAAGTATTTACCCGTCCCGTACTTACCCGTACTCGTCCCTGTTCCCATTTTTAATTTAATACCCACTTTTAATTTAATTATATTAAAGAATTTTAATATTTTTTTATGTGTGATTTTTTATTATAATATGAGATAAAGAAATAACCTAATTATAATTATAATATAATTAAAAAAATAATTTAAAAATATTATTTTTTTAAAAAAATAAAAAATAAAAATTTTGACGGTACAGGTACGGGTACGGGTATACCCGATACCCGACAGGGACGGAGATGAGGATGAAAATCACATACCCGACAGGTATGATACGGGGACGGGGATGAGTTTGGCTCGCGAGGATAGGGACGGGTATCATGAAACCCGTACCCGCCTCGCCCCGTTGCCATCCCTAACTGCTATATGTAGTCACATTCTTCATTTTGTTTAAATGCAAAGGAACTACGCTGAATTCAACAGATAGCATGGTTTGCTAGAAGCGTGACAAAATTAGACAAACCAAAATTAACAGTTAAGGAATGGGGTTTGATGGCAATAGGATCAATATTTGCTGTTTAGACCTTCCAATTGGAACATAGAGTGAGGAAAGAATCATTTCTTGATAAGTAACTCAAAAGGTTAAGACTCCTAATGAACTTCTAAAACAACAAAAAAGGAAATACAAAAAGAAGGTTGGGAGAAAAGATGATTAAACTAAAAAGGACCTCATCATGGTAAATGTTTCCTCACTGTCTTGTACAACCATATTTTACTTTGGCAGCAATATTAGTAGCACTCAAGATGAACATTATGATGGAGACCAAATGGACAACAAATTTATACACAACTTCAGTACACAAGCTGTGGTTCAAACTCTGCCAAGTCTACAGACCCTGACTCAATTGGTGGCATTAGGTATGCGGCCAAGAGTTCAGACACCAAGGCTGCAACCAGTGGGATCCTCTTGAAGTTCTTCACCACTGATATGTCATCGGTCTCGCCTACAGCAATAAGCTTCTCGTTTATCTCCACCATCCGGTCCAATTTCCGCTTGAATTCTGGGTTTTCAACATCAAGAACAGCAGGGAAAATTCGAGCCGTTGTGCGGTTTGTCTGCAGAAACAAGCCAGAAATGAAGCTTGAGAAACTCGTTGTAAATTATGAGTTGTTCATCATTTGCTCTTTGTTGATCAACTCTTACTAGTCATAGTGTTTTCTATGGTAACTCAAGGCTCCATTACTTTCATTTTATCAGTCAATTACTTAATTCATCAAGTAATTGAGAATGAATAGAAGCGATCAAACAAATAGTGATTATACCAAACAGGAAACAGCAATGTATCACAAACTAACCTCAATGATGACATGCATGTCAAATTCCTTTGTGTTAAGTCCAATGCCTTCATAGAAAGCTGTACGTTGGCAATCATTGAGATACATAGTGACATAAACCTGCAGGAGAAATTTGACAATTAAGTTTTAAGCACGGTTAAGAATGATAATAACTAAAACCTTATAATGACAGATATGACATATGTGATCTCTTTGGCTCGTACAAACTGTTTCATGATAAGGAATGCCAAGGTGAATGAGATTTTGCATCTTGGACATACTTGTCTTCCACATGGATTATTAGTTAAGGTCTGTAGGATTCTGTAGGCCTAGTTTTCTCTAGTAATCTCTATTACACTCTTAACCTAGCACCTATTAGTACTAGGAGTTTATTTGAGTAAACTTCTTCGGAAACACCTTTAAAAGAGAAAATTAGGAAAGAAGAATGAAATAAACTTCTTTATAAACTAAAAGTGGCTTACACATAAATCAATTTGTAGAAGCTTCCTCTTATTTACTTTTCGAATACTTTAGACTTATGCATAAGCTAATTTTATTTTTAGCTTATGGAAAAGTTGATTTTGGTTTTTCCTTTTTATTTTTTTCTCCTAAAAGTGTTTCTGGAGAAGTTTATTTCAACAGGTCCAAAGTATTGAAGCTTTAACTTAAGATTCTTAAAAGAAGGCAAAATGGCGAGAAAACGAGAAAAATTACCGAGAGACAGAAGAACCGAGCCCACAACTTTGCTTTCCAGTCATTTAGAAATTGTGGCTGTGCCTTCATGAGGGCAGAGAAGAAGTCTCCATGTCTGTTCTCATCCTGGCACCAGTTCTCAAAGTACTTAAAAATGGGATAACATTGGTACTCGGGGTTGGCCTTGAGATGTCTGTATATGGTTATGTATCTCCAGTATCCAATTTTCTCAGACAAGTATGTAGCATAGAAGATAAATTTGGGCTTGAAAAATGTGTATTTTCTAGCTTTGGTCAAGAAACCCAAGTCCAGAGCCAAATTGAAATCAGATAAACCCTTGTTCAGAAATCTGCAAAGAATAAAAAACATAAAGTCAAGCACTACAAATAACATATAAAATGGAAAATGAAAAAAGGAGAAAAATTAAGAATTAGAACTTAGAAGCAAGAGGTGTCTATACCCAGCATGCCTGGCTTCATCCCTAGACATAAGAGAGAAAATCTCAGCCACCACAGGGTTGGTTTTCTGTAACATCAACATCCAAAGCAATAAATAAGACCAACAATAAAAGACCAGAACAACCTTGTCCAAGATAAGCTCATTGAAGACATGAAATATAGCAGAATTGCATTAAACGCCACAACATCAAGAGAACAGAATCCCAGTACTTAGAATCAGAACTGTATTGAGAATGAACAAAAACTTTCCCAATAATTATCCATACTTTTCCAATATATGATATGAGTAAGCTTTTACATTATCATCCAATTTCAAATTGCCATTATGATAAGATTGTTAATTTTACAATATCTGTCTTAAAAACTATATCTACCGTAATTTTTTATTACCCGGTATAAGTTTGTTAACTTTTATGCTAACTATGTTAAAAATTATATCTACCATAATATCTGATTGGTTACCAACATCGCATAAAAATTAAACTCTTTCAATTTCAATATCCCCAACACTATCTTAAAAAAAATAAACATTTTATTTATTCCCCTTTGAATACTGAGTCCGATTGTGAAGAAAAAAAAGAAGAAAGGAATGATACCTTGAGCCTCCTTCCAAGCTCTTTGTAGAGAAGGAATCCAGAGAATTCAGCAGTGCAAGACCTCTCAAGGAACTCAACAAAGATCTGTCTGAGGGGACCCTCAAGTTTGTCAGCAGCTTCCTTGAACTCCTTGTTCCTGACAAAGTGTGTCTGGTTGTAGTCAGTCTTGAACTCCTGGAGCAGTGCCTCAAACTCAGCCTGGTTGAGGTTCTTGTTGATCTCAGTGTTGAAAAGGGTCTCCATCTCATCAAAGTCAGTGGTGTAGAACCTTGGTGTCAGAAGGGTCTCCTTGATGGCACTCTTGTTCCCCTTCTTGCTTTCCTTTGTGGATGGTGGTGGGGTGGCAGTGGCAGACATTCTTATGCTGCTGCTGAATTTGGAGCGTGAACCCATTCTGGGGCTGCCAAATTTGGGACTCACATTGGAAATTGGTTTCACAAGAGCCATCTCTGCTGCCATAGTGCAAGGTAGAGGAAACAAAGGTGTGTGTACTTGAGGCTGAGGACTAAGGAGCATCAAGGACAACAAGTGAGGGAGTTATAGCTTGGATAGGCAGTGATAGAATCTCATCCAATGAAATCTTTGAACCTTAATTGAAACTTGACACGTGGCAGGTGGTGTAAGCTGCTTCTTGCTTCATCATTGGTTCGCATGATTACATGTAGATCACAACTTGTGGCTTCCTTCTACTCCTTTTAACTCGGGTTGTTTAGATTATTAGTAGATAATAAAAAAGAAAATATACTTCTACATAAATTTTTGGACATGTGTTGGTCCAAAGATGGAATTTAATTTGTATTATTTAAACATGAGTCTTTATATACATGTACGTAAAGTATTTTTTTTGTCAACTATATATAAGTAATACTTTTTTTTCTTCCAATTAGCGTTCTTACTTTTATTAAGTTATAAAAAGACTAAAATAAAATCCAATTATGAAGAAGTAAAATGTTTTATCCCTAGAAAAAGTGTGGCACGTTGTAATTATAATGAACTTCATATGATATTTTTGAAGATTAATTAATCTATACAATCGAGATTTTTTATTCTATGGGCGCAAAAGCACCACCAATAGCAGCTATTGGGGACAGAAAGCATACAAACCACGTAAATATGGACCAATACACCGAAAAATGAGAAAACAGAACACAAAAGCTCGACCACAAAAATTCTCTCTCTCTTTTTTTTTTTTTTTTTTTTTTTTTTTTTTTGTTTTCAGTTTCTTCAACCTATGATACTACATACAATTTTTGAAAAAAAAAGGATAGATTTTATAAGATGTGAACTTGTCTTTTCTGTTTTTTTTTTCAAGGTTAGTACGACTTTTTTTTTTGTGTGTGTGTAGATTACAGGTATGTAAAATAATTTTGAGAAGAAAATTTTCTCAAAATATTTAATACAGCAGGCTCCACCTATTAAGTTAATAAATGCGGCATGATTTTTTATAAAAAAATGTTTAAATAAACAAAAGTAGCAGTAAAATTTTACTCCCTTTTTTTTGGTACAGTAACTTTTACTTCTCTTCAGCTTCCTATTTATTTTCAAAGGAAAAGAGTGTAAAATAGTTTGATTAAGCCAAAAGACAAAGAGAAAGGGTATTTTATGGCTTTATTATTTCATAAAAATGAGGTAATTTGAGTTGATTTGGGTAAAAGAAGATTTTTCCACCGGGTCAAAAACTATTTCCCTTTTTCTAATCCTAGATTTAATTTTAATTAAGTGATGATAGAATTTATGTTATGATATTTATATTTGACGAGATATATTTATATTAATAAGTAGTTATATCTTGTTATTTTTATTGAAATATTTGTGTATATAACTCTCTAATGATTAGATATTTTTATGATTTTATTTCTAGTTATCATCAAAAAGGTTTTTAATTAATAAAATATATGTGTGATTCATAAATTTTTATTTTTTTTATTATTCTATCAATATAATATTTATATCCTAACAATGTTATCTCACCAAAAACTTTTTTAGGATGGCATCATTTTAACTTTGTTCTTTCAAATTGCATTGAAACCTATCTAATGAAACCAAAGGAGAGAAAAAGAAGAAGAAAAAGAAGATAATTCTTCCAAAAAAAAAAAAAGAAAACAAAGAAATCAGTACACCACTTACAGAAATTCTAACTTTCTTGTGGTAAATAAAGAAGTCATTCAATTCTAGAGATCTTAACAAAGGACAAGTGGAAGAGATAGGCACACCTAGTAGAATACCTACCATAAAACTTAGCCAGAAAATCTTTATGCATTATTTTGAATGCAAGTGGCATTTACAGCATAACAAACACTTACCACAAACCCGATCGATTGGTTGATGTAATAGTTTACTACCTTGCATTGATATGTTGTGAGAGAAAGATTTATTTAGTGAAAAATTTTGTGTTTGATATCAGTCATATGCAAAAACCTTTCAGATTAATAATAATCATAACATCATAAGCAGAATTAGTCTCTAGTCCAACAAATTGAAAATATTTGTGATAAGAAAAAAAAACAACTTGTCACACTTTTATGCTAAAATGAGTGAAAAGAGCAAGATCAATCTCTCCACTTCCAGCACGAATAGCATCAATGAACTTGCATGAGTCAGAACATTTGAAATTTTTACAAACAACAAATAGTTGCAACTATGGAACCAAGCTATCCTCAGTATCAGGCAAACCAACAATCAAAGAGGACCATCATCAAACCTGAAATAAAGACCACAACCAATAAAGAACGGCATAAGAATGAAACTAAAACCATTTTTGTTTTTGAGAAAATAATCTATACACTTTTACAATGTCATCCATCATCTAATCACAAATTTTCATATATTGTAAGTTTGTTAACCTTATAATAACTATATCCTAAAAGTTATATCTATCAAAATATCTTATTGATTGACAACGTATTTTTTTTTTACCCACAGAAAGTGCATAGAAATTAAACTAATTTTGTAGTATATTCTACATATTCAGCATGCCAGGATTTTAACCAGATTTGAGTATGGTTTTAGAACCACTTGATTTAATCTTAAGTCAGAATGTGCAATTTTTAAAATGATCAAACTTAAGCAACATCTCATCCATGGAGAAATGTAAGCTTAAGCCAGAGTATGGTTTATGAGTCCAAGGCAATACCCAAATTTTTAGAAATAAAAGGACGAAGAGTGAGAAGACATCCTCAATGCATTAAAACCAAAAGCTTGCATTGTGGCTTAATGAGAGTTATTCCTGTCATCATTTTCTTTAATTGCATATTTGCATCAGCAGTAATGTGCCTTTGAGTAGATTCTCTAAATTTTCTTCCAGCACGAGAACTGTGCACAAACTAAATAGCTTTGTAATTAGTAAAATGTCTTTATAATTATTTTATAAATATTTTCTATGTTACAATATCTCAAAAAGAGTTGTCTCATTGATATACTTTCCTATATGAATTTATTTGTTTTCCTATAATAGTTATGATACCATATAGAGTTTTGTCGAATAATTCTCTATTATTGAATTTGGACAAAGTCATGAATATATAAAGATATTTTAATGTTCCTTATACTCAAGGAATATTTTCATAAATAACGGGACTAATCTAAGAAAACAAATAAACTAATATAGGAATGTATAGTAAGGAGACAACTCATCTTGAGATATCGTTGCTTAGAAAAATATTTATATAGTAATTACAAAGATAATTCCATTAGTTACAAAAATATTTCACTATAATACTTTCCGTCAAGTTGGGGCATAGAGATTGCAAATGCCCAACTTGTAAAGAAATAAAAAAAAATTGTGATCTATGGAAAAATTGTCAAAATATCTACGAGCTATGCATCAATCCGAATATGAGACATTATAATATCTTTGTATATATTTATGACTTTGACCAAATTTAATAACAAAGAATTATTTCACAAAACTCTATATGTTATCATAGCTAATATAGGAAAACAAATAAATTAATATAGGAAAGTATATCAAGGAGACAACTCATCTTGAGATATTGTAGCCCATAAAATATTTACAAAGTAATTACAAAGATATTCCACTAATTACAAAGTATATCCAATTTTCCATGAATAAATGAAGCATATCAAAATGAATTGTCATTTAATTCGTGATGCCTTACAAGATGTAACAATTTTTATATCTCATATTCGGACTGATACACAGCTCGTAGATATTTTGACCAAAATTCTCAATAAATCACAATTTTCTTTACTTCTTCACAAGTTGGGCATTTGTAATCTCTATGCTCCAACTTGGAGATTATTAGTGTAATATTTTTATAATCAATGGAATATCTTTGTAATTATTCTATAAATATTTTCTACGTTACAATATCTCCATATAAGTTATCTCCTTGCTATACTTCCTATATTAATTTATTGATTTTCCTAAATTAACTCTCTTATTTATAAAAATATTTCTTTAAGTATATTAGAATATCTTTATATGTATTCATAGCTTTGAACAAATTCAATAACAAATAATCATTCCAGAAAAATCTCTATAGTGACTCTTCCATTCCATCTTCAGTTGTGCTATGCAAATTCAAAACCGTAGAATGGATCAAAAGAAGGCTTCTTATAAAAATCAACTCTAATCAGAAAATCCTCTTTATAATAGAAAGGTAAAAGAAAATGTCTTGACTATGAAAATACAAGTAAAATAATTTGAGTACCCTGCAAATCAAATTTATAATAATCACTCACTTAACTTGCAATTATTATGTGCATGACATTAAGTGCTGACTTATTATCATGTTTTAATATTAAATAACATTAAAGAAATATCAGTTTTGAAGTGATAAGGGTTTTGTTCCTCTTATCAATGATATCATTTCTTTTAATATAAAGTGGATTTCTCATGGTTGTTTGTTAGAAACCCATGTCAAGGGGCAAAAATGCTAATCCTAGGATGCACCTTTGAATAAAACATTTGGCTTGAACTGAGAAATGTGCATTCCTCTACTGTATAGCTAGCAAAGATTTTAAAGACTTATCCTTATAAAATAACTTAGAAGGGATTTTTCTTCTCTTTTTTTTGCCTACGGGATTTAAATTTATTTATGTGCTTAGAAACAAATTAATTAGTAAAATAAGAAATTATATCCTTCTATCGATTAGTAGACATATAATGACCAAAGAGGTCGACATGGTATTAAGAAAAATTCAAGTTCCACATCGTCTAGAGATTAAGCAATTAAATGATATATAAGTGGAAAGCAACCTTCACCTTCAAACTGATTTTGTAAGGTTAAGTTAGACTTAAATCCACTATTCAGAGATGGTATCAGAGTTATCCTAGATTTTTAAAAATGGGTCACCCACCATTGATATATCACCATGGGCATGAGGGGGTGTATTCAAGTCCCGAGGAAAGGGCCACCTACCATTTATTGATACATGCACCATGGACATGAAGGAGTGTATTCAAGTCCTGTCAATCCTAGATCATTGAAAAATGACTACCTACCATTTATCCACGTACCAAATCCAATAGTGCTGGACGTGAGGAGGTTGAGTTAGGCTTAAATCCACTATTCTAAGACATAGGAAGATTAGTTTAAAGAAGTCAGTATAATAAAGTCTGGCTAAAGAGATCAATGCTCCTCCGATTTAAAATATTTCTATTTTAAAAGATTTATATTCTTTTTATATTATATACCATATACAAATAATAATTTACACAATTAATATAATTTTAGCAAGTATATGTTTTTAGTGAATAGTTTTACCAAACATCTTATATTATATTTTATAATTTAATGTAATATTTTTTAAAATATTAATAATATCTCTAAATTATATTATATTTGTATATAGTTTATTTTTAAAGGAAAAAAATGTAAAACAGTTTGATTAAGCCAAAAGACAAAAAGAAAAAAAAAAAGGTATTTCGTGGCTTTATTATTTCATAAAAATGAGCTGATTTCAATATAATCAGCATAATTATTCCTTATCAACTGAGTTGATTTGGGTAAATCAATCAAAAACAATTTTACACCAGGCCAAAAACTGAACTGTCTTACCCTTTTTCTAATCCTAGATTTAATTTTTTTTAAGTCGTTCGTTCCCTCACCAAACTTTTTAGGATGACGTCATTTTTACTTTGTTCTTTCAATTGCATTGAACCCTATCTAGCGAGGTCCTAAGGAGAGAAAAAGATAATTTTTACAAAAAAAAAAAAAGAAGAAAGAAATTAGTCTACTACTTGCAGAAATTCTAAATTTCTAGTGGTAAATAAAAAAAATATCCAATCTAGAGATTTTAACAAAGGACTGAGTGAAAGAGATAGGCACACCTAGTACAGTACCTATCATAAACATAGCCAGACAATCTTTGTGCATTATTTTGAATGCAAGTGGCATTTACAGCTTACAACAAACACTTTCCAAACTTTTATGCTAAAATGAGAGAGAAGTGCAAGGTAATCTCCCCATTTCCAGCATGAATAGCATCAATGAACTTGCATGTGTCAGCACATTTGAAATTCTTACAAACCACATTGCTGCAACTATGGAATGGAACCAAACTATCCTCAATATCAGGCACACCAACAATCAAAGAGAAACCCCAACAAACCTGAAATAAAGGCCAATCAAGGAACCAGCTTAAGAATGAAACTAAAATCGATCACTTTCTTTTGAGAAAATAATCTATACACTTTTACACTACCATTGGTCATCTAATCAAAAATTATATATAGTAAATTTGTTAGCTTTTATAATAATCATCCTGAAAGTCATACATATACACTATTTTTTTCTGATTGAATAACAATGTAATTTTTTTAACATCCAAAGTGCATAGAAATTAAACTACTTTTGTAGTACATTCTACATATTCAGCATGGAAGGATTTTAACCAAATCTGAGTATGGTTTTAGAACCACTTGACTTAATCTTAAGCCAGAATGTGCACTTTTTAAAATGGTCAAACTTAAGCAACATCTCATCCATGGACCAATGCAAGCTTAAGCCAGAGTATGGTTTTTTGAGTCCAAGGCAATATCCAAATTAAGTTTTGGGAAGTAAAAGAACCAAGAGTGAGAAGACAACCTCTATACATTAAAAATCAAAAGCTGGCAATGTGGCTTAATGAAAGTTATTCCTGTCATCATTTTCTTTAATTGCATATGTTCCATCAGCAGTGATGGGCTTGTGGGAAGATTCTCTGACTTTTCCAGCAGCACGAGCGCTTCGCACAGACTCTTCCATTTCCTCGTCTGCCGTGCTATGGAAATTCAAAACTGTTGCATTAGATGTTCGGGCTGACTCTTTTACATCATCGTCAATGCTGTAGAATGGATCAAAAGAAGGCTGACCATCCTCATCTGCAAATTTCATGTCATCATCAAAATGATCAAAATCAAAATTTTGAAGAAGTTCAGGAATTGGCCTGCGACCATCTTCTGCACGCATAGATCCCATTTCAATATCAATTTTCTCCTTTGGGGTCAAAATTCCATTTGCAATATTTGGAGTCATAGACCCGGCCATCATATGTTCATCCTCATCAACAAATGATCGAAAATTATTTTTCGATCTGGGAATGCTGGAACAAAGTGTTTCTCTAATGTTTCTCGATGATCCCCTATTGAACGGGTTCCCCTTTTTATCATATTGGTATCTGAAGTTCTCGTAGGTTGTCTGCATGACAACAAAAACAAAAAAGTATGAGTAATCTCGAGACTTGAACAAATAAACAACGATAAGTTAACATAATGGTCATCTTGGGACGGTTCTGTCAAGAACAGGATATAAATATCGCAGACTAGTGTCCCTATAATATAAGCTTCTTATAAGTCAACTCTAATCAGAAGATCCTCTTTATAATAGAAAGGAAAAAAGAAACAGTCTTGAATATGAAAGTGCAAGTAAAATAATCTGAGTAGCCAGCAAATCAAATTTAAAATAATCACTCAATGAAAATGGAGTTATATTAAAATGTCCAAACTCAACATAATACAACAACAATGCTATCTCCCACTAGGTGATGAAAGCATTAAAACCTGAGGGAGGAGCCTCAAGCCTGAACTCAGCATGACCATAGAAAAAATAGTATGTAGTTAGGAGGTCAATTTATTTACCTACATATTCTGGATAGGAGAAAAATAAAAATAAGTTCAACCTAGTTTCCAGGAAATAATGTATTGAATTCTTTTTATTTCCCTGTTATAAGCTACACAATCATGTTATTTAATTTGATAAAGTCATCTTACTCACGCAAATTACTAGTATGATTTATTCAGCTGTTGTAGATGTCAAGTACATACCCTAATGTCATCAATGATACTTCATTTTCCATAAATAGCAGAAGGTCCAAAAAATTAATTTTTCCATGAATAGTGGAAAAGTAAAGATGAAACCAAAAAATTTAGTAGCTTTCAAGATAAATATCCCTTTCAAATCCAGCTACAGAGCCTAGTGTTCTGTTCTTGTCTCACCTTTTCTCCATTTGCATTACTTTTAGATAATGAAAGCATAAATCTTTTTTTTATCATTTCAATTATTATATTTATTTCATCATCATCTAATATCTTATCCAATTACCTTCTCATTTATTGTAGCAGGACACCAGAACTTGTGTACCACTTAAACTTTGATTAAATTGCTAGACTTCTAACTTTTTTTGTACCAAGCAATTTCTCTTTGCTAAATACTGCTAAATAATATGTTCCTGATAATGTTACTCATTTATTTCATTTGATACTCAATATGTTAGCAACCACTGTTATTTTTTTTTTATAATTTCATTCATGTAAAATTGTAAGCAATACCATAGGATGAAGCAAATAAAGAAAATAACAAAAAGCATGATGAATCAAAAATGATTAGAACTTTTTCATATTTTGAGAAATAAAATAATCACCTGGTTTGTACAAATGAGATAGAAATGGAAAGCAGTGAGGCCACCAACAAACCAGACAGCAATGAAACAGTATACTATCAGAAAATCTGATATATAATCATGTGTTATTGTCTTCCAAACATTATGTTGGGAAATATTGATACAAGAGAAGACAAAGACATATATGCATAACAAGGTTGACGTCAAGATAAACATGAAGAAGAACCGATAGTTCCGCTGCAATTATGTCAACATGTGAGAGAACTGTTAGTACTTGTAAGAAATGAAATGAAGTAGAACATTTGGACAGTAGAAAAAACAAACAATTCATATTGCTGTTTCTAACCAATTAAGCCAAGGAAAAAGGATCCCTAGGAAGACGACACATTTAAACTGAACATTCTGCTCTATCCCATCCTCTCCCTAGAGGATGGGACAAAGTTACACACAGAAAGACTTATCTGCAGGTGATCATCATATCCCCTACCAACTAAAAATCCAAATGGTAAAAAAAATATACTGCATGGCCGTACAGAAAACTGGATGTACTGAGCTTATTCTATGGGCAGGAGAACTTTATGCTCATTCTCAAGCTTATTTCATTATGCATCCCAGTTGTATTATAAGGAAAATGATATCATTGTTTACCAAATTTCATTTTAGAGTTCACATAAATTACCTATTTTCAGCACCTCTACAATTTCTAAAATGGTATTACTTTTAAGAATATAATTACTAAGCTTCTGCTAAGGAAATGTGATTTGCCAGGAAAGCTCCAGCCACATAATATATTTTTTTTGTTGGATAAAAAAAAGTAAAATACTAAAATCTACTTGAAAGGGTCTAAACTGCACTTGTTACAGTAAAATGGACTTACTATTCCAATGCACTGGCCAACCCAGGGACAGTGATGATCAAATCTCTGGACACAGTTGTTGCATATAGAACAATGAGAAGTGCGAGGAGGCCGATAAAGCAAGCAGGTATCACAGAACTTTACTTTCACTGAGTGACCATTAACAGTAATATCTTTAGTTCGAGGTATTTTCAAATGAGGGGTTGAGCCATTAATCCACTCCATGGAAGGGGTAGGTATATCAAATGTCTCGTCAAATTCAGGAGGTCTTAAATTTCTAGGAACAATTCCAGGATCTCTCCCAGAAGTCAGGAAGAGAAATATTAAATCCTGCACATGAGTTGTCTAACATATCAACTTTTATTCTGAAAATAAGAAAGGAGCTCTCATCATAAGCTATGAGAAAAGAATAAAATGAGAAGGATCAAGGATCGACCAATGATGAGTATGAAAATGAAATAATGTTATTATATATACCAAGACTTATCAAAATAGGGGTATTATTCGGCTGGGCTTGTTCTAGTTGTACCAAATTAGCACTTCTTGAATATAGTAAATAGGTGTATTAGGATATTGTTTTCTGCATAACTAGGTGACACATTCATACTAGTCAGTGTTCTTTTCTCTCTTCTTTGTTTTCTCTTTTTTCCTTCTTTCCTTATAATCTCAAAATGGTATTAGAGCCTTTATGACTGAGTGATCAAGAATTTGGTCATTCTTGCCCTTATTCTCCATACTCAAATTTTAATTTCAGTATCACGTCAAGGTGGCATGTATATAATCCATGCTGCATTACCAAAGGGCTCTTGCATGAGGAGGCATCTTAGAGACATGAAACATTCTTGGACCTATATCAAATGGTTTAAATTTTTAGGAAAGGCAGTGTTTCGTCATTGATAGAAGTATTCAGGTCTGGGGGAAAAGCTAGATATTTTTTCAAAACTAAAACAGTTAGAAATATATTCATTTTCTCCTCATAAATAATAAAGCAGAATGACACTGCTTAAATAACATTACTGTTCAGAAAATAAGTGGATCTGTAAATTTTGCAAAATTAATTTTCATTTTATAGTATTCAACATTATAATTTCTTACCACCTATTTCCTTAATCGTAACTTACTTATGGATTAGATAACCCTATGTGTATATAAATATGTATATTAAAAAATTGACTTTCAATTTTGTAACTGAAAAAAAGATAAAGCACATGGGAAAATGATAGAAACAATGCATAAGTTGAAGACTAGTTTATGTATCTCCAAGAATAAACTGCAAAGGGTGTTTACCAAAACAGTGAGAACTGAGGCCACGATCAATACAAGAAACCAACAATCATGAATTAGATCACCGGTCTTCTTGATTTTAAGATATGTTTTTACACAAAATGCAAGCGCAGGTCCAACAATTAGGAATGTTGTAAGAAACAAGGAAGCTACATCAGGACCAAAAACCAGCCTCCCACCACAGAAAAACTTCTGCAAGAAGTCAAACAAAGAAGAATTAGTAACGTATAACATGCTTGTCATTGCTTCAAGATATCTAATCACACCAAAATAATGTGTTTATTTTTGACCCGATACAACGAGGTAAAATCTTTCGGATGGTAGACATTTACAAGCTCAAAAAATCCACACCCATGTCAAATTTTATCTATTGAAAAGAAAAATTGACATAAGTGTTCCAATTGCAGTGGCACCAGTACCTCAACAGCTTTACAGCATCAACACATCATGGATTTACATTAACTTTTGCAGAAAAATAGATATATGGGAAGGGGAACAACAGTCATGCAAAATTAACCACACATTTACAACAAGCATTAATTTTTTATTGTAATTTACCGGAAAAGCCAATTTACCATCAACCCTCTTAAGCAAGCAAGAATGCATCAGTACACATGGAGTTCTCAATCATAAAGCAACAATCATCATGTTGAGACCATCTTACCAAGCCAACAAAAGGGCTAAATTCCACGACTCGAAGAAAAAAATTTATATATGATGACAGAAAAGGGAGGTCCAAAAGCAGATGCAGAAGTTTTTTCAGCAAAACATAATTCAAACAAAGATTGAAAACTGTGACCAAACAGGCAATCAAATCATCATCAAAATCAAATTTTGAGGCATGAAAACCAATTTAAAATAAAATCTGACATTGCCTCCCCTCCAGACTTGATAGAGCCTCCTTTGCTTGTGGACCACATTGCCTGATGGAGAACCTCCCATTTGCGGATTTCTATTCCCAATCATGGCAGGACCACCTCGTGCCTCACCAAAACTGCACTCTCCCCTTCACAAAACCCATAAATCCCAATACCCAGAAATGGAGTCCTCTTCAAAATCCGAAATTTCCTTCTGGGGTTCCTCCAATTGGCCTCTTTCTGCAGTGGAAAGGGACAATGCAGATGAAAGAGAGGAACACAGAGAGAAGAGGGAGAGAGAGAGAGAGAAAGAGATGTTTGGCTTTGTTGTCGATGATGATGATGGTGGTGGTGTTTGAACCGTAGCAATGGAGAATCAAGCTGTGACACCAAATCCAAACAGGAAAATTTGCGGGGTTGAAGGGATCATTGGAAGATGAGAATCTCCATGTCCCTTTTTCTAATCAATCCCTCAAAGTTTTCAAGTTTCGTTTCTTATCGTTTCTCTTTCTCCTTCTCTCTCTCTCTTAGTATTTTTTTTTCTTCTCTTTCGCTTTTTCTCCTTAGAATCCAAAGTGCTGACAGCTTTGGGGGTTCTCGGACGGATTTTCCAATTCTTTGCGGCTTTTACGCGCGTAATGTTTCTTATTCCGTTACAACACAACATTATAAAATGCTATTCTACCTGTTTTTTGTTTTTTTTTTTCTTTTCAAAACACATTACCAACGATGAAAAATGCAAATAAACAGTCATAAATATTTCTTCATTCTTGATTTTTTAGGTTCGTCCCTGGTCCGCCGACAGCAGTGACTAATCTCCTCGCTAGGTTGTAGGCACCTAGAAGGGTGGGATAGCTGGCCCCAAGATTTAACGCGGCTGCATACACAAGGCAGGATTCGAACCCCTGACCTTACTTAAGCATGGATCAATCCCTACCGTTGAACCACACGCTTGGAGTTTTCTTCATTCATTCTTGATTATTAAATCTTCGTAATTACTTTATTTATTTTTATATAAACCACGTGTATCTACTATAAGAGACGATCTTCTTCTAATTGCATTCATATGAAGATGATAGTGGTAAACAATCATCATGTTTAAGGTAATTATTACTATTAAAGTTTATAAATTTATTACATATCATTGTAAATTAATTGGTTTGAAATGTTTTAATTTAATTAATAATTTTGAAATTTGATTTCTAGGTACGTAATTATTTTAAATATTCAAGTTTGTTGTTACAGTGATCTTAAAAAAATTACAATATATGATCATTTATAATTTGAAGACAACACAAACAGTATGAAACTTTTAATTGCACCATCTTTACTCGATTTGGTTGAACTTCAAATAAAATTGCATGATGAGTAATAATTATATTTATTATTTTAGGAAGAAAAAAAAAAGACTTATTGAAAGTGTAAAGGCACAGCTCATGTCACTGAAAAAACAGTTCACATGTAACATAATTCTGTTGGAAAAAAATAATAATTTTAGAATTAAATTTAATAACAAAAATATTTTTAATTAGAGTTATTGCCCCGTAATAGTTAATCTTACAGAACATTTGAATCTCTCGACAAGATAAGATGAAACGAGTACTTGAATTCTTGTTTCGACCTTATACAGATGTCACAAAAAAATGCAAGAACAAAAAAACAAATAGAAGGATCTGAATTAAGGTCTCCTATGAGCAATTCTTTCATGCATTGTTGTCGGAATTATGTTGCATGTGTTTGTGCAATCCGTTTTATTGGTTCAGAAAATTTAGTTAAATCAGTTTAAAATCGGATAAATTAAACTAGATATAACCCGTTTGAACCACTATTTGCTAGATTATTATTACTTTTAATTGAACAAATATATAATTGTAATGATTAATACAATTCCAGTTCAATGCTTGATAATTATAATAATTAAATTTATTTAGTTTTTAATTATAATTGGTTATTAATATTATCGTTTGCTGTTGAACTTAAATGTTATGGTATCCTATAATTTGGTTTCATATTTAATTTTAAATATTATATGTTTTGAATCATTACATTTATAAGGAAATTCAGCTTTTAATATTATATTTTTTTTACTATTTATTACTCTTATATTATATTTAAATTTAAAACCAAAACCACTGCTCCTATTTTAATTTAGGAAAAATTTTACTCATCTCTTGTGATGTTTATTTAAATGTTATAGAAATCTTTTTTAGTTTTTAAAAATTATACTTATTTTAGAATAATATCATTAGTTAAAGTGAAAAAAAAAATAAAGTTAATTCATATTTTTTAATTATATACATGTCTATCGTTTGTTTCTCAATTATGTAAAATATTATATCTTTTTTATGAAAATTTTTATTATTTTTCAATTTTTGAAAATAATAATTTCTTAGTCCGTTTTTTGAAATTATTTTTTAAAGTTGGTATATTTTTTAAATTATAATACATATGATATTTAAGATATAATTAAGAATTAAAATTAAAATGATAAGTTTTATTCAATAATAAACAATTACATTAATAATTTATTTTCTCTTAATAGTGCACAAATGATGTTATCTTATATTAAAAAAGTTAGATATATTACTTAAATAAACAAATAATATTTAGTTAAAAATTAAAAGAGTAGTAAAAGATCTCAAGAAAAATCAATATAAAGTTGAATATTTGTATCTTTTAATAAATAAAAAATAAAAATTAGAGTTCGATTTCTGTTTTAGATATAAAATTATAAATAAAAATATTATTTTACTCCTTAAAATAGAAAAATTTAATGAGAGAAAATTACACCTTTTAAATATGAAAATAAATAAATAAGAGAGTGGGATATTATTTATGTTCCCTAACTTTGTGCTTGAATTATAGTCTTTTGTTTGTCCTGCTGCGTCTCTCAATACAATTTTTTTTTCTCTTTTTTATGTTAGGAGCATATTACCTTCCAAAATGTATCAACAGTGAATGGAAGTAAGTGAAATATATGTTTAAACAAGCATTATCAATGTGTGAAACCATTTGTTTAATGTTTTTATTAGGAATATGTAGATGACCACAAATTCACATATAAATTTTATTATGATTTTCTTTTTATTAATTATGAGTTTTATATTTATTTGATTTCATTTATCTAATATATATTATTATTTTACGTGTACTATATATAAAGAATTTCACAAACATTGACTATAGTGATATTAGATTCAATTCTTTTAAATAAGGTTTTGAGTTTGAATTTTGTGTATGAAAAAAATTAAAATACATATCTGAGAAAAGAGACTTCCACTAAAAATAACTAACCAAGTTCTTCAATAAAAATTAGTCATCAACAAAGTCGATAGATATTTTGTATAAATAACATAGTTATCATAATAATATCACAACTTTCTATTTGACAAATAAGTTATGAAACATCAATAAATATTTAAAAAGAAGTTTGAATATGTTTAAATTGCACATCTATATATATATATATAGAGAGAGAGAGAAAGAGAGAGGGGGGGGGGAGATACATTTACACAAAGAGTAAGTTTATTTAAACTTATTTCATTCAATAACTCATTTTACATTAAATTTCAACAATTCAATGGTTGAATTAAAAATTCTTAATAATAGATCAAGTCTACAAATTTTAAAAAAATTCAAAAATTATTTGATAATTTATTTCATTAATTCAAATCAACATTTAAAATACTTTTATAATTATTCGTCAATTTGAATTAATTAAACAAAGTATCAAATAATTTTTAAAATATTTTAAAACTTTACAGACTTGATCTATACATTAAGAACTTTTAATTTAACGATTAAATAATTAAAATTTGATGTAAAACGTGAGTTATTGAGTGAAGTAAATTTAAATAGACTTACTCTTAAAATAAATAAATTTTGCCTATATATATATATAAGGGATTATAATTACACCGGTGTAACTTTTACTAAGTATTACACCACTCAATAACTTTATATTAAATGTGAATTTTGTAAATTCAACCGTTAGATTGAAAGTTTATATCACTTTATATGTGTATAACAAATTTTGTTAAAATTGAACAACAACTTGAAGGTAATCAAAGTGTTCATATTTTAGTGTATTTTGAAATGAATATATTACGTTAATTTTGTTTTATAAAAATTAAGTATCAAATCATCTTGGATTAATATAAAATTTTGTATATATGATCTAAGATATATGAATTTTCAATCTAACGGTTGGATTTACAAAATTCACATTTAATATAAAATTATTGAACAGTATAATACTTAATAAAAGTTACGGTATCGTTTGAACCTTCTACTAATAAAAAAACTAGTTATTTGTACTTTCATAATAATATATATATATATCACTCCAGCATAAACCATCACTCAAATCTCCTAATTAAAATATCTTAAAATACAATGATTATTTTTTTTTTAAATAAGTTTTTTTATTTCTTAATTTAGAGGGAGGTGCTTAATTAAATGAAAAGTGACTGAATTCACTTGTTTTATAATAAAAAAACATAAATGTGATCATGTATACGTGTAATTATAACTTAACTTATTTATAGATTCAACTTAATTATCTGTTAATTTGGATAGATTCTGATCTTAAATTAGAATTGATATAATTTTTAGAATAGGTTTGAGTTATACTTCAGATTGTTCAAAAACCTGTCATTTATTCTTTTAATATGTATAATTTTTTAAATAATTATATTTTAATAATAAAACTCTCTTTATTAATAGATATAACTTTATGTAACATATTATATTTATAATAAAATTATTTATTTTAAAATATATCTTGATTTGAGTTTTATATCTCTTTCATTTCATATAATAATACATATTGGAATATTAATATATATATATATATTTAATTAAAACATTAAGTTGACTTGATATCGCCCTACATTTCAAGATTTAATTAGATTGAAATTTAAATAAATAATTTAATTAATTTTTCAAATAAGAGAAAGACAAAGTTAAACTGTCCCAACTCGTTGCTTTGCTTGCTTACCCCTAATACACACCCAAGCCATACATAGGGGAGAGAGAGAGAGAGAGATGTTGGACATTGGGAATGGTGGGTGGCATGCATGAATGTCTAAGTCGTCGAAATAACCAAGAGAAAAGGCATTTTCTTGGTGATATGGATTATGGAGTGTGTCTAGAATATGCCTTATAAATCAAATCACAACATTGTAGACAGGCAGATACCATGGCAATGGAATGGTGGAGCCACACCACAGATATTAATTTTATATAACTTATGTAACTCATTATTAATATATATATATATATATATATATAAGCTGGCATTTGGCACAACGTGGCATCCAATAGCAATACAAACTAAAACTTCCTAGGTTAAGTTTCAACTTCAATATCTCCAACTCACAAATCTCAACATACTAATGCCCCTTTATTTTTCTTTTGTCCTTTTTTGTTGTTATCCATTAAAAAGTGGCTCTTAAGGTCAAACGTAAAATGATGGTTGTTGGTTCTAGGAATTAAAGACATACATCCTGGCACATTTTAATATATATATATATATCTAATTAATTAAAGGGTTTAGGGTTTAGCAATAAGATCATTATAGAATAATAGCAAAAAAATATATGATGATTAAAGTTTAAGAAAATAAGTATGTCAATACACAAAATGGCGAAGCAGCCCGCGTGCCTTTGGATACGCCGGGATTTAATTTATATACTAGACAGCTTGCAATCATAAGACATGGATTCATGGTTTGTATAATATTCTCAATATATCATTTTTTTTAATAACTTAAAACTTCATTTAAATTAAACAACTTAATACACCACCATATTTCACTCATCAACTAAATTCTTATTCTTATAATTTAAAATTTTGTAACTAATATCACTATAACTCCATTAAATATTTTTGATGTAACATTTTATTATGCACAATGACATGGAAAAGATTATTATTATGGTGCATTTTTGAATGGGATATATTGAAATCACATGTAGCCCGACTCTTTTTTCCCCTTCAATCATATTATGTCACCTCGGTTAGAAAATTATCCTCATTCTCACGTTTTGACTACACATGTGTTTGGATATTCGTTTCCAACTAACCAAATTGATGTTAACACATTTCAAAGCATGAAATGGAGAAGCAAAATAGTGTCATTCACGTTGAACTTGGGATTTTGCCATTTCAACCGAGGGTGATGTTAGATGCAAACACAACTGCAAGAGGATATTCTACAAGGAGTATTTTAGTTAAAGATTCTATAAATGAAATGGGATATAAATTTTGATGACATAAGATATTCTACATTCTATGATAAGTCAACATGCGATATAGAAAAATTAACATTATATCAAATGATCAACACCAATTATAGTAGGAGATACGAAATATAGAATTTTAATATATTAAAATCCACATTCTAGGATGAATGTGACTTTACTCATCATAGAATGTGGAGAGTAAGGTGTTATCCATCATAAAATATTCATATTCTATGATAGGTAACACCACACTCATCATAGAATATTAATATTTTATGATGGATAATATCACACCCATAATAGAATGTAAGTTACATATTGTTGTCCAATTCAATACTAATCTATACAATATACAATATCTATCATTTAAATTGAAAGAATGTATAAATTAAACTTCATAAACAATCTACAAAAACATAAATCAATTCTCAATAGCCTCAATAAAAGAACATGCCCATGTGGTGTGGATATCTTCCATGTCTTCATGGGAAAATGGATGTGGATTTTTAAATATCTGCACAATTAATTCAAAATAAAGATAATTTAGATATTGATCGATCATTGCATTGTTATATAATCATTTAAAGTAAATAATTTGAATTAAAAATGTATTACCTCTCTCCATGAGTCACTAATGTTGCCATTAATGATGGTGAGCATATATTTTATCACATAATAGCCACACTCATGACTATCAGCTTAATGTAGGTACTATAATATAAAATATAAATAAATCATACTTAAAGTATATATTTTAATTAAATTCTAACTACTATTTGTTGACATTTGACTTACCTTGGGGGCAATATATTGAAGTTTCTTTTTAACTATCGGAGGAAGCCCCTACAACCTCAAGCATGCTTCCAAAGACCTACGAAATCAAATGATAAATCAAAAATAGTTAAACAATAAAATATTAATTACTTGTTTCATGAAATTATAAAAAAAATATAAAAAAATGACAAATATTGATAGTAGATACTTACGAATCGATGATGTGTCTAATAAGTAAGTCAATAGTTTTCTTGTGTATTGAATATAAGAGAACTACAAGAAACTACCACGAAATTATTATGAAGAGTTGTCAATGTGTACTACATTTTTTAATATTGTTAGAAACATGTAAGTTATTGTAAACTTAAAATAAAACTTAACATAAGTACTTACTTATTCAAATAGGGTGCTAAGTACACCTCTTTTCCTCCATTCTTGAACTCGTCCATCAAATATTGGCTCATCTAAGTGACTTTGTTACCAACAGACTGGATAACAATCGGGTCAATGAAACCAAAATAAAAGACATTTAGAATGCCCACAACTACGTGATAAAGATGCCTATAATTATGAACAAAAATATAATGTAAGGAATGTGTAATTGAATATATTAAATTAAGAACCATTACAAATAATACACACTTAATCCATAACTACGTCATTGATATGGAAAGGAACTCATCCCTAAAAACTATATCCATGACATCATGTTGGCAGATAAAGAAAGATGTAAAAAATCAATTATTTATAAATATTTTATTTTAAGATATTAATGAATTGATTTTATGGAGTGTTTTAATTATAAAATGAAGTATTTTGATAATTGTTTAATTAGTTATATGCGAGTATGATATGTTATAATGTTTTATTACTATGTTATTGCTATTATTATTATTATTATTATTATTATTATTATTACTTTAAGGGAAGGGAAAATATAACCTTGGTTAGAATTATGTAACTGTTGGTTGGATTAATGAAAGGTTGAATCAATTTTTAAATTTAAAAGAAATGATACTTTAGTTTCTGTTTACACTTCCATTTTTCTTTTTACACTTTTGAAAATTCTAGAGGAGAGGATTAACTTTCGATCAATTAATATTCTTAACAACTATAAATTATGTTAAATAAACCCAAGTCATTTTATGGGTTTATTTAACTATGTACATTATGGGTGTAAACATATAACATTTACAAATTTTGTTAAATTACTCAAACATACTTTAAAAGGACATTATAGTCCATTGTAGCTACTAAAGAGGATCTCAAGTGAGTCCCCAAAATAGCTCATTACTTTGCAACAAAACAACCACATTAATCACCAAAATAACTCTATTATAAGCACACAGAAAAACCCATCTGCAACTACCCCATAATAGTCCCAAACCAACACATTATATGGAACAACAAATTAGTACAGTGCATAAACACACAATACCAACAAATTATGCACTCAAACCATGTAACAACATCTTAACAACACTTGGCGGCCCAACAAAAATCATAAACACAATACCAATAATGAAAATCATAAACACAAAAAAAACTCAAAAAAAAAATAGGACAACACAAAGTTATCAATCAAACAGTACCAACAATACTAACTTCTTGTAAACAACATATGGCAGCACAAAGCTTGAGTATCAAAATGTGAGAACAAACTTGAAAGCAAGGCAATGACTAAATGAAGAAGCTTGAATGGAGCAAACAGTGGTTGAACGAACCTGAACAAAGGCATAACAAACACATATAAAATGCATCACATTATACTTTAAAAACATGAACAAACCCTAAAAACAACAACTGAAGGAGAAAATAAGTTCGAACCTGAATGACACAACAATTTTGCTTGCATTGGTCACCAAATGCGAAGGAGAGAGATTGTCTTGGTCGTCTAAATCACCAGAAACGTCAACTGAAGGAATTTCCAAAATAGCTATGGTAGCTAATGAGTTTGCTAAAGGGAAAGAAAAATAGTAAACGACTAGAGCATGAATTAGTTTACACCCTCTTGTGCCCTAGTAATAACCATTCTATGACAGGTGATGAAATACCTGACATTCTATGACATGTAAGTCAACACCCATCATAGAATGATTATTGTCAAAGACTAACCAACACATTCTATGATATGTATTGACTTACACGTCATAAAAAGAATATTCTATGATGGGTAAGTCAATACCCGTCATAAAATATTTTGGAATATTTATAAATATGTCACTACACCACTTTTTATGTCGTGTGGATAATACCCGACATAGAAAGTGCGTCAGAAAATATATATTTTCCACCAATGATGCAATATTAGAAGGCTTCAGACAAGGTGTTCCAATCAATAGAATTCTAGATGGAGACATAGGTAGTGTTGCAGACATGAGCAATGAAGGGGTCGTTGAGTTGGGCATAAGGTGAGGAAGGGAGATGAAAAAGAAGGTATCATTCAATTGGTTTGGTTGTCACAATAATAATGTTAACTTGAGAGAAAGGTAATGTACATTCACTACAAGAAATGTTACATATAGTGACATATAAAAAGTGTCACTATAAGTATAATATATGTAGGTATATGTCTATTTGACATATATATAGTTACACATAATTTTAGTGTTGATTTTGAATGAGATTTAACAACATATTTTATGTGTCCCTATAGTCTATACTCACGCTTTTTAATAATATACCAATATATATTATAATTATTGTGTAGGCAAAAATAATTTTTAATGACATGTGTCACTATAGGATATATGTTACAATATGACAATTTTCTTGTAGTGATTAGGGCAAAAAAAACCTTCAAAATCAATTATTTTTCTTAAAAATTGGTTGCAAGATAGATTATGATGCAATCGATGTTGTAGGGTGAACTTTTAGAATCAAAATTTAATTGATTCAAAATTTTAAAATTAGTTATTCCTAGCTGATTGTGTTTGTGCTTGACATACAAGGTCGATTATTAGCATATACAATAATAATAACTGATTTTAAAAGTGTAGTTTTTCTTTTAATTAGTATGTTTGTTTTCAGTTTGTCATAAAATAAAATTCACATATTACAAATTCCACACAATTTCATATGGACTTTTAGCCAATTAGTGAGTATTTAATGGACCAAATTAACCACATATCCTATATATGTCCTCAATAGACCAATTAACCAATTTTATATCTCGACATCATGTCTACTTTTTACACTAGTGGTAATTTATTAATTAACACTGTGTAATGTGATTGAGGGGACAAATTAAAGAAGGGGACAAGCTTTGGAGACATATGATTTGAATCGTGTTGAATGACACATAAATGATAATCCAATTTTCTTATTTGTGGTTATAAATGTTAGTGAAATTGTTAAAAATAATAAAGCAACAATAGACAAATGATGTGTTATTTTAAGTTATATCTAAGGGCAAACATACCCTAACACAAGTAGTTACAATACGTATTACGCTCAAATATTATACCTAAAAGAATAGTTTGTTATACTTTTTTATTGGAGTTATGATGTAGTCCAAACAAGATAATTGTTTGGGGGTTTTAGTTGCATGAAAAGATTAAATTGATAGAATTTAAAATGTTCTATTCGATCAAGTCTTAACACTATAATAAAAAGAGTTTTTAGCAACATTTAAAAAATTTACCTAATTGTGTATAAATATTGTTAATTTGTTTTTACCATATATTAGCAAATGTTGTATATAGTTCATATTGTTTAAGACTTTTAATAACATTTTTATATAATTGTGCAAAATTTTTCAAATGTTATCAAAATGATATTTTTGTAATATTTTAATGATGTTTTTAAGTTTTTGTTAATTTTATAAAATAATAGTTTTAATATAGATATTGTTATCAATTATAATTTATGGCTTTTAACCTCCTATAAGTTTTTTAAACTAAGGTTGAAGACATTTATAGTTAGTTACCACTAATTATATATCAAATATCAAAGTTTATTTATCTTAACTATAACTCTATGCTTATATGCACTCTTTGTGTGACATTCATTTACTCGACGTGAGACTTTAATTATGAGAAATAATTAGAGACGAAAGAAGTATACTCTTTATGTGACATTTTTTACTCGATTTGAGACTTAGATTTTGAAAATAATTAAAAATAATAATATTGAGATAAAAAAAATATTACTTATTTATAGTAACATTTTTCAAAAAGAAAATGTTACAAAATAACCTATGTGATATTTTTTAACTTTAAATGAGACTTTGATTTTAGAAATAATTAAAAAAATAATATTGAAATAAAAAAATGTTACTCTATTTATAATAACATTTAAAAAAAATGTTGCAAAAATGACCTATTTACTCAATTTATAGTAACATTTTAATAAATATAAGTAGTTAAATGTAGCTAAAGAAGTAAAATGTAGTAATGTAAGAGAAACTTAGAGTTATGACTCACCTATGTATTTAATCATTTTCCCCGAGATTTAACTATCAACTATATATTTTAGTTAAAAACAATTCTATCTAATTAGTGTTTTCAAGTGTTTGATGTATTGCATTTCATGTCGTTGTTTCATAGCATAAGTAGTTAAGATAGTCCACATTTTAGGGTTAGTCTTTTTAGGTTTTCAATAAATTAATAATTTTTTGCTTAGAACTTGTTACACATTTGTTTTGTTAGTGTTATATGATAAAATACATATCATGAGACATGTAAATGAAAGAAAAGACATGTTTGAGCGATATAAAGAGATTAGAATCACTGGAAAAAAAATGCTAGAATGATGATAGAAGATGAAGCAACACATGAGAGAGAGGCTCTACAAGACCCTTGATGAGTCATTGAAGAAATGGAACTCGCAGGAAATGTCACAGTCATGACATAATTGTTGTACCTATGACACAATCTAAGAAATATTTTAAACTAGATAAGTAGAACTTGTAATAGTTGTGAGAGAATTGTCACACTCGTGACACAATTTATGGCTTACTTGATTGGAAGAAACAAAGTATATCATGGTTATGAAAAATTGTCATGAGTAATGTAATTCATGTGAGATTTACTTTTATTCTATTATCTATTTTTTTTAGTTGAGCCTAAGATATTTTAGCCCACTTGATCAATGATAGAATTGATCCTAGTTGGGAATAATGTGTTAGGAAATTTGTAATCATGGTTGAAAATTAGTTAGCATTTGATCATTCTTTTTTGCACGAGATACTTTGTAACCTAATGTACTACATTAGTTCACTTCTTGTGGTAGTTTTGTTGACTAGTTAAAAAAATTTTCCTTTTTGCCTTTCAAAAGAAAAACTATATAAGGTCGAAAAGTTTCTCAAGATTCGTAAATGAAGCTCATTAGTTTGTCATTATTTTAGATTTTAGATTTAAAATGTACTTGTTTCTCAACGTAAATTTTATTTGATGGTTATTAAATTATTTCAAATTTCTTTCCATAGTAACTAAGATCATGCTAACTTAAGTAGCATATACAAGTTGTAATATATATAATTTCATAATTCTCAATAAAATTTCAATAAACAACAAAGAACATATTTCTCATTCTAGCAAAAAGGAAAGAAGTTCAAGTTCAAATCACATATTACTAATAATTCATAGATGTTTATAAGCAACAAAAATCAAACATTGAATAGGATCAAACAACAATTCTGTAACACCTGGTATGATTTTGTAGTAAGTTTGTCGGTGTATGACAGTAAAATAAGGTATTAAGGATAGATTAAAAAAAAAATTAGAGAAGCATGATTCCTTATCAGGATGCTAAAGCCTTATTTTCTAGTAAGAGTTAGTAACAATTATTGAAAAAGCAACCATGCAAAATAAGTCAAATATATTATAAAACAAGAGAGTTAGGAACACACTACCATTGATTAAAATGTATTCGAAACTACAAATTAAAATCAAGAATGAGAACTTATTAAACAAAGTGAGACCTATCTACACAATTTAGTAATAATTCTTAATAAATTTGAACTAATATTAAGGAATGTGTTAGAAGTTAGAAAGAATGTATAACAAAGTATGTTACTAGTATTTTTCTTTACCAAAATTATCAAACTCGTACTTTGAATTAATTGCGGAAAAAATCTACATTCCAGACTAAGTTTAAGAAAGAAAATAAATAACATGCATTATTCATCATTCATTAATTTAGCTCCTTCATTCATCAATATGTCTTGAACTAATATTTGAAAAATGTACCAAATTTTGTAACATGTCATCCATTTCTTTTCTCTTTCTTGAGCAATCAAAATATCCAAGTTTCCATTGAGACATATCATTTGTTTCATTCATTTTACAACTCCCAATACAAACCATGTCACTACTACCCTTTTCAAGCCACCCCCATTCATCAACAAAACAACAATCTAACCTTAAAATCCCCTTTCAGTACTCTGCCCAAATGGATCTGCATCAAAAATAGTTGAGACATTGTAGCCATTACTATCAAAATCATTCCCTCAAGCTTCTGTGACTGTAACAAATTCTGCAAATCTTTCATTTGTTTCTCTCTTGTATTTCAAAAATCAAAGCGTGAGATAGATATGTAAATGGCTTTATAAGTTGTTGATCATTGACTATTTAGGACACAAGTCATGCATGAGTAATATTATGTCCCATGAAGTGTACATAAAGACCAAAGAAACATCAAAATAGTACCTTCAAAGATCCAACAGGAACTACTGCTTCTCTTCATGAGCGTTATTGTTTCCTCCAGTTTTGGATTTCGATTGATCACTAGGAACAAAAATTTCGTATGCACTTTCTTTTTCTCCAGCCTTCTTTTTTAGATGATCATCAATGTCATTGTAATCCAATTCCTTTAATATCGAAGGAACTCGCATTCCATCCTTGCCATACATTGTTCCCATTTCCATATGAAATTTGTGTTTTGAGCTTATGAAACTTCTTTCAAGTTCTGAAGTATAGGATCCATCTTGAATATCGTCCTCTATTGTAACCCATTCTCTGAAATTCACCAATTTACTTGGAATCTTGGCACAAGAAAGTTCTTTGAAGTTTGACAATATTCCTTTTGTAAATGGATTTTCCTTCTTGTCGTAGCGATACCGAAAGTTCTCATAGGTTGTCTATAACAAAAGAAAATGTCAAAAATAATGATTGTAATACTGCTAATACATCATGAGGTACTTTATATTATAAGAAACATGCATATAGATATCAAAATTAAAGGCACAATTACATTGAACACTAAAGATGGATCCTAAATTATGTAAATGAATACAATATGAAATTCTCATATAATAGGTTCATATCTAGCTTCATTTTTCATATCTTTACAATACTTTCCAAGGAAACAGGAATAACCTATTCAAGGATTTGATTCCATTTGTTGGAAACTCATAAAACTCCCTCTCAATATAAAGGATATAACAGTAAACATAGTTCAAAGATAACATTCCCCAAAATATATCTACCATATTTACTATATTTTATTAAGTGTTTAATTTATATACAACAAATATCCTATAGAAATTCACCTTATCATTAGATCATATTAATGAATAGAATGGTAATGCATATAAATTAAATTTCATAACTAATGATCGATATTATAAAAGTCTCACAAACACAGAAAGAAACCGATGCAAATGTTGCAATTATTAATGTCCAACCATAACTTAATTATAGAGGCAAAAAACATAGAGCGTTAGAAAAAAGAAAGAGAATACCTGGTTGGTGGAAATCAAATAAAGATGGAAAACCGTTAGCCCTCCCACGAACCAAACGGCTATGAAGCAATATACAATGAGTGTAACTGATAGGATATCGTGTGACATGTTGACCCACAATCTACCATCTTGTCGAAGAAGGTTAACCCAAGAAAATGCAAACACATATGTACACAATAAGGTTGACGTTGTTATGAACAATATGAAGAATGGGTAGTTACGCTGCAAAAAACATCAAGACAAGGAATAGTTAGGTTCTGCTAAAGAATAAAGAAGAGAAAACATAAAGATAAATGGACTTTGAAGCCCACTATCATGGGTTTAATATAATAAAACATGTTTTAATATATTTTCCACAAAAGAGAAATGAGATACATGCAAACAAATGAGCATTTAATTGGATTCGATTTAATGTATTGTAATTATAAATATTTTTACATAATTAATCAATCTGAAATCAACTTAGATATAAGTTTTCAGATAATTATTATAAAAGAACTTTAATTTGTATCCATTGTAAAAAATTTTACACTATCAAATAATAAAAATCATTATTAATGATTCATAAGGTAATTGTTGTAAAAGTTAACTAATTTATGATATATGATGATTTGTGGTAGGATGTTAATGTAAAAACTCTTTATATTATCAATACATGCACAATTATAAAAATCAAAAATCATACCATACATGTGATTAGATGAAAGTGTGAAAAAAGTTTACCAAGTTAGTACATTCTAATTATGTTCTTTAAAATGATTTCATAATAATCAATAGTCTTATAATTCATGGAAAACTATAACTGAATAACCATAAAAATCATTAGCGTGTTTTAATTAAACTCAACAAAAAAACATGTTAACAAAATGATAATAAGATGATAAAGACCAAAAACATCTTTTTTCAACTAAATAATGTTGCATAAAAGTTTATCAACTTATACTCACTGATCCAATACACTGACCAACCCAAGGGCAATGATGATCAAACTTTTGCACACAATTATTGCAAATGGAGCAATGGGAAGCACGTGGTGGACGATAGAGCAAGCAAGTATCACAGAATTTGACCTTCACTGTGTGGCCATTGACTAACATATCCTTCACTCTAGGCAGCTTCAAATTAGGGGCTCTATTATTCACCCACTCCATGGAGGACATGTGTAGGTCTAGTGTTTCATCTGACTCAGGTGGGCGTGCATTCCTAGGGATAATTCCTGGATCTCTACCAGATGTCAAGAAGAGAAAAGTAAAATCCTGTGGCAACCAGTGAAATGCATGTCATGTGTAAAATATCATCAGCATGCCATGTACTTGTTACTAAAAAGGAAACCTTTCAACTTTACCAACCAAAATTGTGAGAACCACTCCTCCAATTAGTACAGGATTGCTAAAGTGAGGATCCTCTTTCTTTAATGATAATAGCATTCTGATGCAGAATGCTATTGCTGGACCTCCAATCAGGAATGATGTAAGATAAAGTGATGATGCATCCTGACCGAAGACTAGTCGTCCACCACATAGAAATTTCTGTCATTAGAAGAAAAACTTATATAAGAAATTAATTTATATGATAGACTGATAGTATAATAAGGGTTTATCTGGACAAACTTCTTCTAAAGCATATATGGGAGAGAAAAATAAGAAGGAAAAATAAAATAAACTTCTCCATAAATTAAAATTAGTTTAATTTGTAGAAACTCTCTTCTATTAGTTTCTCTAACATCTTATTTTTAACTCATGCATAAGTTAGTTTTAGCTTATGGAGAAACTTATTTCAATTTTTTTCCTATTTTTCTTTCTTAAAAATGTTTATGGAGAAACCTATCCAACATACTCTTAATTAACCTCTAAAGTCTAAAGGCATTAAAGATTGGATCCTAAATGGAAAATTCTAGTAATCACCCTTCAAATATCACTTTTTGTCCCATTTTCAAAATGAAAATTCACTAAGAATGCTCCACGATCTACATGAATGAAAAATAGTAAATATACATTTTGTTCTTGAAAGATGTTGCTTTATTCCTTGAAATTCTATCGATATAAATTTGTACCAGAATTTGTCAACTTGCTTACATGATTACTATGCTAAAGTAGTCAAATTACTATTAACTTCATCACTTGGAGACAAATTATATTGACCAAAATTTTCGGGGCTAAAGCAACAAATTGCATATATTTACTCAAATGAGAAGTCATGAATATCTTTCACTAAGACGAACAAATCTCATATCAACACTTATATATCCTACCAGTCCAACCATACACCATTGTGTATCACACAATCCACATAAAATTACGTAATACTGTCTCTACTCCTAATTATAACCAACAAATTCGATTTTCCTTTGATCCTAATTATAAACAATAATTATTAAATTTTAAAATTAATTAGGATTAAATTACTTTTATACCTTTTCTTTATTATTACGCATTCATTTATAAATACTATTAAATATAATAACTACTTAAAGTAAAAAGTATGTTTGGGACAAAAATTGAATTTATAATAAAATTAATTAAAAGTAATTATATCAATTATTTTTCTGATCTTAATGATCTGTCTCGTGTTGTTTATAATTAAAACTAAAAGTAGTATGAATCTATTATAAAAGAGCATTTTCTTAATCTCCAAGGAATGTTGAGGATATTAAGAATTAAAAGAAATATGAATGATACTCGGATGATTACCTTCATCATCATTTGCCAAGGAAAGTAAAAATTTACCAACTTTCTAGCTTTATATGTTGCCCACATGTCTGATTTTTCTTCTAAAATTGACATAAGCACATCAATTTCCTCTATTGTATAGCATTACAAAGATCAGTTCTATAAGTCCATTTTTTAATTTTGCTTTTTGGAAAATTAGAGTATGTCAATGTCCCTCTTATCCTACGTATAACTAAACTTTTCAACATGCCCTCCAGCCACCACCAAATAAATAATCAGTGTTCAGCACGCTTGTGTTGTACCTACCTCCAAAGAACTTTAACATCGAAAATGATTCAAGCATTTTCAAGGAACAAATTTCAGACCAATCTCTGGATTTGCATCTACTAATCCTCTCGAACACCGAAACATACATTTTGCACTAATCCAAATCTCCTCGAAAATCTTTTATTTTTTTTCCTTAATTCTGATCAGGCACAGCAAAACCACCTCGAAGGAATTGCTCCACTCTCATAAAAACTCAAAAATTATAATAAAACATAAGAACACAAATATAAGCTTATTGCACACATCTTCATTCCAAGCCTCGTAAGATTGATCTCATTTAACTCTGACCCACCCCATAACCTCAAAAACCACAAAAAGGGTTAAATTAGAACAAACCAATTGCTCACTCTCTCTATCGGTTTATCCATCCCTGCCAAACATTAGCACAAGAACCAACATAGCCAAAGTTTTGATTTTAATCAAAGAAAAACATCAAGGGACACAAATACTGAAAAGGGGTCAGGGGGAAAACAAAACAATAACAATAAAAACACAAAAAAGAAGTGTACATTATTTCCTTTCCAAACTTGGTAGAGCCTTCTCTTGACAGGTTCGACTGAGATGGCGACAGAAGGGGAGGGAGAGGCCAATTTGTTATTTTGGAGGTGGGAGTTATCGGTGAACATAGTGGCTTATCCTAATGTTAAGTCACCTTTGTTGTTGTTGCTGCTGCAGCAATATGATGATCACCTTAGTTTGCAAAAACCCAGGAGCATGTGTTGAGTTAAGGTTTTTGCTTTGTGTGTTTTTGGTTATTGTCCCTCACCGCGAGATGGATTGGCCGTGGCAGGGGAACAACAAGAAGGGAATTGAATTTCCCTTCTTACGTTCCTTCCTTCCTTTCTTACAATCTCATTTTTCCACACTCCATCACCTCTCTCTCTCTCTCTCTCTTCTCCCCATGAAACAAGCATTGCTCTAACGATTTTTCAAATTCCACCGGTCTTTACGCTACCACCAACTATTTTGGAAAAGATCATGGCTAAATCTATATCGTAAGAAAGGTTTTTCGAGAGACTCAGGCAAACAAATGACTTGTCATTCACTTTCTTTTTTTTCTACTCACTATCATTTCAAATATTTTTCACTCTTGCATCATCACATTTCTATTAATCATTAATAATATAATATATTATATTTCTTATTAATACATCAAAATGAAAGTCTCAAAACTTTAATTATAGTTTTAATATTAGCATAAAATTGTTGTAAAAAAAATTAACATAAAATGTTATTATAACATGTAATATATTTTATAGTTTTAGTGTATATGCTAGTTCCATATTATATTATATATTAATTAAATACATAAAATTAATCTATACGAAATATAAAATGAGTATAATTTCTAGTAATTTTTTTTAAATAATATCTATATCTATATTAATGCTAATTATACTATATTATGTAACTTTTTGTTGACACCGAATTTTCAATATCAAAAAGATATTTGTATAACCTTAATAATTGTTAAGACATTAAAATTGTCTCTTAAAATAAAGATATTTTTAAACAATTCCTTATTTCTTACTAATATGTGATAAAATATTATATATATATATAATATATAAAGGGAACAATTTCTACAATATTTTCTTCCTCTAATAAATTTGCATATATAGATTTTAAGATTAAAATTAAAATTATATTAATTATATGATATAATAAAATTAATTTAAAAAAGTAAGGAAAACATAAAATATTAATTACATTAATTTTAAATTATTGTAGTTTTAATGTAAAAATAATTATAAAATTCACACAAAAATATTAATTATCAAAAATTGACATAATATTAAAAAAAATAACACATTAATAAAATTAGAATTAAAAACTTTTCAAAATAAATTTAGAAATTTATTTACATTTATGTAAAAAAAATGGTATATTTTATTTTATTTACTTACATTTATATGAGTATATTTGATATTTCTTTTTTTTTTACACATTTAAGTATATTTTGATATTAATGTAATAGATAATTATATTATTCTTTAAACTAAATAAACAAATATATTTAATAATAAATTATTGTCAAAATATACATAAAAATGAAAGAAAAAAATCCATGTAAGACACGAGTGAACCAACTAGTTATTAACAAGCCTCCTTTTTAGTCTCAATTAAATAAATGAATTTTAATTTAGTCCTAAATTTTTTTTTATTTTGTATCTTTTAAAGTTTATAAACATTTTTTTTTAAATGAGTAAATTTTGATTTAAAAATCTTATTTCCTTATATTTTCATTTCTTTGACATTTAAAGTCACTATTTTTAGCTTTTAACATTATTTTAAGATAGATAAATAATATTTATTTTAAAATATAAATTTTTTTGAGGTGTTAACTATTGACATAATATTACTAGCAAAGTTATTGGTAACACCTAGGATAATCACTTAATTTTATAATAAATAAAAAGAAGTTAAAAATGATGAGATAAAAAAAACTAAAAATAATAATTCTAATTTTAAAGGATGAAAAAAATTACGAGAATTAAAATCAAAATATGCTAATTTTGTGGTAACACATGAAAATTATTTATGGCGTAATTATAAACATACTATGATAATATGCTTCCATGAACACGTGTAGTTATTTTTGGCAACATTTAATTACACTTATTTGTTAAAGAAACTTCAAACAAGTGTCCTTAATGCATTGGTTATAATCAAAATTAAAAAAGCATTTATTAAAAGATGTATTTGCACATTCATCCATGTAACTTTATTTTAATTTTTAATGTATTCATTCTTTAACTAGTGCCCCAAGGATACTAGTTACTAAGACCCACTTGTTAATATTGCATGTAAGTTTCAAGAATTTATTAGCAACTTCTTTTGATTGTTATTCTAACTTTTTTAATTTTATATTTTATTTAAGTGTTGTCCTTTTCTTTTTTTTTTTTTCTCTTCTCATAGGTATCTTCTAGACTATTCAGTTAGTAACAACTTATTTTTCTTAAAATAAATAATGAATATATTAGAATAAATTAGGATTTATAAGAGAAATATTTTATTAATTAAAATAAATGGGGGATTTTAGGTTCAACTCAGAGATTAATTTAAAAGAGAAAAATATAGAGGACTTAGGTCATTACGCGTAGTCTAAAAACCTATAGTGCTCTAGAGGAGAGCACCGAGGGAGGCATAAATTAGCGATAGGAGTTATCGGAGAAACATCATTCCACGAGAAGCATATCTCAAGGTAGGGAGAGTGGGATTGTCTATTTCATATGCATAGATGAGGGATAAGGGTAGATAGGTGATCCTTAAGCCTCTTAGGCTATCTAATTGAGAGGAATTCCTTGTGTATGGATTTTGATTGAATTTATATTGTTGTTGTATGTTTTGATTCTAAATTGTTGAATAATTCAATTGATGTTGAATTTGTGCACTCTTAGGGTTAGGGTTGTGATGTATGAATTTTAATGGTTTTGGGTGTAATATGATGAATGGATGATGAATTGATGTTTTTTGGTGTGTGACTCTAATTATGAACCAATAGGATTGTATGAATGAATTGATATTGTGATGGTGTGGAATAAGATGTATGGATCGTATAGAATGCGAAACTGCGATGTGTAGTTTCTATAACTGTGTCGAGCGTGAGAACGACCAAGTCGAGCATGGGGCTGCCAAAAAGGTCCTAGACCTGTTGGTGTTAAGCGCGAAGTGTTGTGCCTGATGCCGTTTGATGTTAAACTCACAAAGAGGTTGACATTGAGCCTGGCCCAAACCACACCAAGCAAGAGGGTATTAAAGAGGTCTCAGACCAATCGCTACTCTATACTCAGGCTTAACACTAGTTAAACCCTCTCTTTGCTTCACTCAACTTCTAGTAAAAAAAATAAAGTAGCTCTTTGTTTTTAAGGCTAAATCTACACTTTTTAGTTCAAGCTTTTCAGGTTTTAACTCAAAAAACCTTATTAAAAAAGGGTTTGAATCTCCGTACATTCTTTTTAAAACATAAAAAAACCTTCAAAATTGTTTATAGTTGACTAGTGGTAGGACTAGAGTAGAGTTTGACCCTTATAGACTAGAAGGGGTCTAATTCTCTCACTAACAACATCTAATGAATTGTTATAAAGACTTTTATAAATCCTAATTTTATAATAATTTCTGATGGACTTTCGAGTTGGATCCAATCGCTTAAAGCGCCCATGTAGCCTGCTTTGAGCAACCCTATGAATGCTTCCATGGGTGATCTCTGCCTTCTCTAGCTTATAACTAATTTGTGGTAGCTCTAAGTGAATTCTAATCACTTAGAGCGTCCATAGAGCTCACTCTAAGCAACCATGTGGGTGCATTTAGGGGTTTTATCTACTTTCTCCTGCTTAGATCAAATTTGTGGTATCTCTAAGCAAATTCTTCTAAGCAAGATGATGTAGGCTTCCAGTATTGCTCTCTATCTTGACTCTCGCTCAAAGCAAATTTCTAGTTACTCTAAGTGAATTTCCATAGCTTGGAGCAATGATTCCGTTGAGAGTTTGTAACTTTTCAAATTATCTTCTCCTTGTGATATTTTAACAAAGAAAAACATAAAAATACCTAATATTAAAATAATTAAACTAAAAATAAAATTATCTTTTGACTTAGTGTTTTTGAGGTCAAAAAATGATTTAGAAGCATAATATATATTAATAATTGTTTGAATTGAATAAAATATATATATACATATTTGACAATTATCAAAATACACCAAACGTAAAATCTTGCTTGTCCCTAAGCAATTTAAACTTTAAGCACAGTCTTACTTAAGATGTATTGGGATCAATTAATATGAACAAAAATTTTTCATAGTACTTTGTCAAATCAAACAATCACATCATCTTTGTAGTAACAACATTGGATCCACACAAAAAATGCATGAAGAAATTTTTAAGAGACTAGTTCTTATGACACTTGTAATTCATGGAATCCAATACACTTGCTATCTCTATCATTGCAATTTCAAGTGTAATTCTTTGGTTAGTGTTTTACTCTATTCATATATTTTACCACCATCAAATTTAGTTTTACTATTCATCTTTTATTTTCAGAAAAAATTGTGTAAGAATCATAAGTGTGCAAAAATCACTAAAGAATTCCTTTGGCTTATAATGTGGTTGGGCTAACAAAATAATTCAATGCTTTTTTTTTTGGAATTCAAAGGCACTTAAGATTAAGGATGCACTTAGTTGTATTATTTTTGTTTATCTCTTATAATCCTTATTTATTTTATTGATAAATGTACATTTCAATTAAAATGTTTGATCAATTTTACACTTATCTAACTAAGTTTATATGGAATTTGTAATTTAACCCCTATAATAGTAGAAAAATCAAAAATATTGTGTAATTAAACTATTTTGCAAAGAGTTGATGGATATGTTTCTTATAAATCTTGGTTTTATGTCCTATAGGATTTAAGGATGATCCATGGCCTCAAAATTGCTCAACTGTTTGAGAAGGGCTGAACGATTTAGAGGCAAGGAGTAAGGCTTGGAGAAAACTCAAAATTGCACAACCGTTTGGAAAAGGCTAAGCAATTTGGGTCTAGAAAGGGTGGAAAAAATTTTCTTCTAGGGGCTCAATGGATTCCTCCATACTTTGTTTTATTTGTTGCACCTATATAAGGACTTGGAGGGGAAAAATAGAGGGGAACAAAGTAGAGACTTGAGCAAAAACTACAAAGCAATCAAGGAGTCCAAGAATCTACAAGGAAAAGTCTCAACCTAAAATTCAACAAAATGATTGTTTAGCGTAAGCTCCATTTAAGGATCTTCTGTTAATTTTTCCTAATTGATTTAGGTACAAATTTATTTTCAAGCTTGGCTTGTGATTTCTTTGATTTCTTCAAAAGGTTTGAAATATGAATCTTATAAAGTGTGTTTATTCTAAGGCATTCTTCTCTTCTATTTGAACTTGGTTTTTGCTTATCCTCAAACAAACTAAAGGTCACTTTTTCATCTTGTGCCCTCACTTTCAGTTTCCCACCATCCACGTCTATGACTATCTTAGTCATTTTCATGAAAGGGCTTTCCAGAATCAAAGGGATCTCCATATCTTTAGCCATGTCCATTACCACAAAATCCATAAGAAATATGAAATTACCAACCTTTACCAAAACATCCTTAACCACACCATATGAGAAATTGATAGATTTGTTAGCCATCAAGGCTTTATCAGTAGAGAAACTTCTAATGGTAATAAGTATAGTAAAACTACCTAGATCTTTTAATTTTGGTGGAAGTGGCTTTTGGATAAATGCACTACATTTAGCATCTAACTCAATAGCCTCTTCATCAATAAATCTTTTCTTTTTAGTTAGAAGCTCCTTCATAAATCTTGCATAAGTTGGCATTTGCTCCAATACTTCTACAAATGGAATATTGATTTGCATCATCTTGAAAATGTCTAGAAACTAAGTAAATTGCCTTTCTCTATCTTTTTTAGAGGGAGCATGTGAATATGGCAAGTTTCTCATAAGTAGAGTCTTTGCTACACCTTTCTCCCTGTTTCTAACTTGATTTTTTTTTCTTTTTCTTCAATTTTTTTCACTCAAACACTCCGTATGTACATCCTCACTTTTATTTTTCTCAAACTTCTTCTTCATCTCCTCATCAACCTCTTCTTCACTCATGTTTTTCTCTTTAACACTGTCATTGTTTTTCAAATTCTCACCAATGTCTCTCACAATCTCCTAACCATTTCTAATGGTGATGGAATTACAATGCTCCTTAAGATTGGTTTGAATGTTGGTAGATATAGAACCTTTAGATTGATCAACTACTTGCTTTGCTTGTTATCCTACTTGGATCTCCAGGTTTCTAATTAAAGCTTCAATATTCTTTTGATTGGAAAAGGAAGCTTGCATGAACTGATTTAAAGTATTTTCCAATTTGGTAGTTCTTTCCTACAAAGAAGAATAAAGAACTTGTTATTGTTGAGTCAGTTGTTTATTGAAGGTCCAGCTTCTTGCTTCAAACCATAGTTTTGACTAGTATTGCTCCTCCATCCCTATACAAAAGAGTTAGGAAAATTATGATTATTTAAATTATCTCTCCCTTGTTGATTGCCCATATAGTTCATTTCCTCCTCTTGATAGTTGCTAGGTCTAACAAAAACCATTAGGATGGTCTCCACCACAAAAATCACATTTTAAAACTTATTGATGTATAGGAGTTGAGCTAATAAATTAAAGTTGCTGAGGAAGTTTTGCCAACTTTTTTTGTAATAGCTTCAATATGTTGGGAAGTAATTTATGTTGTGCTTGCATTGCATCAAAAGTGTATAGATGTAGAAAACCTTCCTTGGATTCCTACTCCAAGGGTGATCTTTGTCTTTTCTCGCTCAGAGCGAATTTGTAATAACTCTAAGCGAATTCTTCTCACTCATAGCACCTATGAAATTCGCTCTAAGAGACCATATGGGTGCATCTAGGGGTTCTCTATGCCTTCTCTCACTCAGGACAAATTTGTGGTAGTATTAAGCAAATTCTTCTCGCTCAGAGCGCCTAGGAAGCTCGTTTTAAGAGAGTTGATGTAATCTTCCAATGTTGTTTTTTGCCTTGGCTCGCTCAAAGTAAATTTTTGATAGCTTTGAACTAGTTTCTAAATCTTTAAGCGAACTTTTCAAATTATCTTTTCTTGTGATATTTCAACAAAGAAAAATATTAAAAAAACTAATATTTAAAAAATTAAACTAAAAATGATGTTATCTCTAAACTAAGTAACCTGTGGTCAAAAACAAGATTTAAAAGTATAATATATATTAATAATTTTCTAAATTAAATAAAATATATACACATATTTCACAATTATGTCTCACTTCGAAAAAATTAACTGATTTATCTCATATTCATCGAACTCGAGACGGATATAAGTTACCACCAATTACAATAAAGAATGAGACACTTTAAATCAAAAACTAAAGCAGGGGCAAGGATGGTGAGAGGCACATGCACTTATCAATACTGATATTGCATTCATAGTGAATCTAGTAATATAAAAGAATAAAATTTCACATTTGTAATTACCAAAAATACCTTGAGTTGACTTGCAAGTTATTAAAATGTCTTGTTGATCCATGCTTAATGATGTATTTAATATATTTCTATAATTGAATTTTTCTTTTTTTTTTTTCTACTTTATTAATAAATATCTTAAAATTATTCATCATTATTTATCATTTCCTTTTTAATATAGAAATACGTAAAATTGTGAGTGTAGATAAACGATACTATTATACTATGAAAATACATGAACATAATTAATACTAGCTAGTAGCTACAAAACTGCATGTCTTGTGCAATCGAAACTCTCTCTATTAATTTTTTTTCTAAAAAATAAATTAACGTATGCATATATTAATTTTAATATAAAAAAGTTAATTTAGAAATGAAATATCCTTACATGAAACGAAACTATCCCGCGTGCTCACTCACTTGCTGTTTCTGGTCCCAAGGCAACGGACCCGCCAATATAAACTCACCATCCCATTCCGTTTCTGTTTTCTCTGAAATCTCAATTCCGAATTCTCAGATCCAGGTAAGGTAACACAATCACCAACGCACACACTTTCCAATTCCATGCTCAAAAATCACATTTTTTTTTGTTGAATCATCGTCTTTGAAATCACACCTCTCTGTGTTGCAGGTGAATGCGGCAATGGCTTCTGGCCCCTCCGACAACAATTTCCTGGAGAACTTTTGGATCCCGTGCCACGTGCTTGTGCCGGAGTCTGCGGTTCAAGGTAGCAGAATCGATCCCGATGGACCTCTCTGTCCGGTGCTCGTTTTCGTTAACTCCAAGAGTGGTGGCCAGCTTGGAGGAGACCTCTTGAAAACCTACCGTGCACTTCTTAGCGAAAAACAGGTGTTGTTACTGTGCCGTTTTACTATAATCTGCCTCAAAGCCTTGGTGATGTAACTTGTCATTTTTAGGTTTTCGACTTGGGGGAAGAGGCTCCTGATAAGGTTCTCAGCAGGGTCTATTCCAATTTGGAGAACCTCAGGCTTAAGGGCGATCAAATTGCTACAAAGGTTATGGAGAAGTTGAGATTAATTGTGAGTTGGGATTGTTTTTCATGGATTTATCTTTCAATGTATGTCTGTGTGTGTGTTAATTTTTTTTTTTTTTTTCTGAAAGCAATTTTATATGCAAATGGATATTTTTTTCCCCCCGTTTTTGATATGTAGCTTGGTTTAGGTTGCAGGGGGTGATGGAACAGCTGGCTGGCTACTTGGAGTTGTTTGTGATCTCAAATTATCTCATCCGCCGCCCATAGCCACGGTTCCGTTGGGCACAGGGAATAATCTACCATTTGCATTTGGTTGGGTAGGAAATTGCTGCTTTAATTCAAAGTATGTGTAAAAACATTATGCTGAGTCTACCATGACTTGATAGTTTTTAAAGCTACTGTTTCCTGATCCTTGTTGGACTGGATGGTCTTTAAGATCAAGCATATTATGCTGGTTTAGTCCTGAACTTTGTCGCATGTCTACCATTTAGCTTTTTGTTTTATTTTATTTAAAAAGTAGCCAATACCTGTGTATATAGAGACTTGTGGTTGCTACTATCTCCTTCACTTGTGATGATAAATAATTGTTTTTTTTTTCTAATGATGGAAGACACTTTTTTCTGCTGCTTTAATGCAGGGGAAGAAGAACCCAGGGACAGATGAACAGTCAGTCAAGTCATTTCTAGAACAAGTAATGAAAGCTAAGGAAATGAAAATAGACAAGTAATGAATTTTGGTTCTATTCTATCATCTTTCAATTAAGTATTACTCTGTTGTTCTGATACTTAAATAGCTCACTTGTTAATCTATACTCTATAGTTCCATTTCCTTCCTACTATTAAGGAAATGCTTCGGGCACGCTTATTATTAAATATTATAAATATGTATGTTGCCAGGTTATGGTTGTGATACTAATTGATTTTGTGTGGGTTAAAGACAATTGAGTTGGGACCGCTGCAGTACAAGTCAATAGAAAATTAAATGATTATTCAGATATCCAAACTGAAAACTTATGATTTCCTTTTTGATTTACTAATTTAATTTCTATTTTGGGGATAACAGTTCAATATGAGATTCTTCTGTCATGTGTTTACATGCCTTTTTATCTTTTTTTGCACAATGCTGTTTTATTCTTAAAATATCATGCTAGCAGTTGTTTAACATTATTATTTTCGGTGTAAAAAAAAATATTTTCATTCACTCTTTTTTGGTTCTCTTATGGGGCATTTTAGTGGTTTCTCTAGTTAAGAGTCCTTTTTTCTTCTTTAGAGCTTTAGTTTTGTTCCTTACTGACTCCCCATATCCTTAATTCCCAATAATTCTAAGCAAATATATGATTATTGTTTAATGGTGACTTTTTGTTTAAGATATTTATTAATTTGTTCTACAAATGTTGATTGTTGATACTTTGTGTTTGTTTTCCTGAACCCTCAGCTGGCACATTCTTATGCGGATGAGGGCTCCAAAACAAGGTGCATGTGATCCAATTCCACCTCTTGAGTTACCACATTCATTGCATGCCTTCAATCGTGTATCTGAGGCTGATGAACTTAGCATGGTAAGATTATATCATTCACTATTTTACAATCTTATACTCCATCATCTGGTTCATGGTGATTAGAGGATATATTTTTTGAACTCAAGGAATTTCTCAGAAAAATACCTTGAGTTTCATATGTTATATTTTATGATTTGACTGGAATTTGGCATAACCATGATAAGTGGCAACTTCTTTAAAGTATGACTGGATGATATAGAGTTTACAAGGTAAAACTAAATAGTGCTGACTTTGGGATCATTTGTTTTTGAACTGTTATGGGCATGAGCCCTGTTTTCCTCAAGCAAGCGCAAAACACATAATAAAAACATGGGTGGGTTGTGGGAGTGCTGGTGAAATAAGTCTTTCAAAATTGTTTTGCTTAACAAGTTTTAGCTTCTGATCTACTCACTGTACTTCCATGTCTGGCTGTTTCTTACTGCTCCTCAGGAAGGTTGCCATACTTTTCGAGGGGGATTTTGGAATTACTTCAGCATGGGTAAGTCCATTTTATACATGAATTTTACCTTTTCTGACATTATAAGTCCATTTTCCACTTATGGTAGAATTATTTGATTTACTTGTCACTTCATTTTTAATATTTAAGTTTTTCTTTTTCACATCCTTGGATCTTGGTTAAGAAATATCAAATTTTGGCAATATAAAATCCATTTTAAATTAATTTTAACAATAAAACTTTCATTTCATAATATGAAAAGTATGAATGTGTAATGATGGAAACTTGATTTGTGTAATGTTATGCCAGTATGCTGATTAAGTGCAATTCATTGATTACCTTCATCATTGGGGTTGATTACTTGATTATTATTAGCTTCTTTCATAACGCTTTAGGTCATGGAAATAGAATATATTTGAGGACTATTTTTCCTCATCCCATCAATCCATCCTAACCATGTTTAAGAAAATCTTATGACTCCAAACTGTAGGAATGGATGCTCAAGTGTCTTATGCATTTCACTCTGAACGAAAATTGCATCCTGAAAAATTTAAAAATCAGTTAGTCAATCAGGTATGCCTTTTTTTATTTTTTTATTTTTATGTAGTAATCATAGTAAATACTATAAGCCTTGCATATACATCAAAGGTTGATTACAATGACATTTTGACTTTCTCCCTCTCGATTGGAAAGTCTATATAGTTTCAGTCTTTTCGACCATGATGTAATTTCATCAACCTTTTTTGTGATTGATTTATTCTGATTGTCATCATGTCAGAGTACTTATGCTAAGCTTGGATGCACACAAGGATGGTTCTTTGCCCCTCTGTTCCACCCTCCTGCCAGGTCAGTTTGTGTGGATCTGTCATTGATTGGGCAAAGAATTCCATTTATGGTTTATAGGTTGTTTCAACCACAGTAAATTCATAAAACCATCTAATATAGGAGGATGGTAGAACTTGATTCAGATTAAGTACACCAAGAAAATACTGTTATTGATTAATGGAAAGAAATCAAAGAATTCACAAATTCCCTGTATATTGAGATATCCTTGCTACAATCCTAACTCATCAGTTGACTAACTCCTCTCAACCATCACCTTATAGGAAAATGCCCCTATTTATAGGAAAATGCCTTATTTCTTCAACCAACGCCACTAAATTAACTAACTACTGGGTATCTATTTATGAAAATTAGTTAAATTGGCTCCTTGCAATTGGTTATCTAATTCAATATAGCAATATCTTGGATTTCGTTTTATTATTTTGGTTTATGAATCTTTAGAATGCCGAGTTCATCTCCATCCAACCATGAATTTGTTATCATTAGTTGATTTGGCACTACTTTGTGCATCTTCACTATCAAGAACCTACAGTTGTTACTTGTTAATATCTTAACGATAGACTGGATAATAGCAATCATTACATGGACCTTATATGTGACCAATTACTGTTCCACCAGTTGAGTTGTTTGGAGTGACGAGCTGACTGGCTCGGCAATTCTTGAGTTGAATCATATGATTTGAGTTGGTTATTTAGTCGCTTGTGATGTGTAGCTCTTTTCATTTTTGAATGCTGGTTTAGATTGGACATAGCTCTTGTCACTTTTTAATGATGTTTTAGATGGGTACACGCATATGCCTAAAACGCACATAATATCAATCCTTCATCTTAAACATTTTCTTTAAACATATGGTTGTTACTAAAGTTAAGTAAATGTATTTTGATCTTTGAATGCAGGAACATAGCCCATCTTGCAAAAGTAAAAGTCATGAAAACGCATGGTCATTGGGAAGACCTGCACATACCTGCCAGGTATATCATTTTATATTCTCATGTTTGATCTATTTTTGGTTATATTGGAGGAATAAGCATTTGACTAAGGGAGGGGAAAAAGATAGTTTAGTGATGGATTGAAATTTGAACGTCTGACATCAACATCATGCCAAAGTCTTACAACTTGGGCCAATGTACATTGAGCTACAAACTCATTGGCATATATCTTAGCAAAACAGAAAAGTGAATGTCGTAAAAAATTCAGGTTAGGGGAAAAACTCCTGGATTTTCAAATTACTAGAAGGCCACAGTTAACCATGCTTGATAGCTTTCCAATATGCAAATCATGTCTATTCATGTTTTTCAAAGCTTAGTTGCTTTTATCGCCACTTCTCTTGTTGGTTAATTGATGATTCATACCTAATCACATCGGCAACTTATCAAGAATGGATATTTTGGGGTTAACAGTCCATTTAATCAATTTCAAATTTTGTCCATTTGCTGTTCTTTCTGCTCTAGTTTACTTCTGGAATAAGATAATTATTAACACTCTTTCTATTTTATATACAGCATCAGGTCCATTGTATGCCTTAACTTGCCTAGCTTTTCTGGTGGATTGAATCCATGGGGTACACCGAACAAGAACAAGCGTCGTGATGTAAAGTTCATAAGCTAATTCTGAAATAATTTATTTTGTTGAATCTCTTTCCCGTTAGTTTTAAGGTCAAATACTAGAGGTAGTATATCATAACTATTAGTCAATAATATTTTTACGCAATTATTTTGTCAACAAACAAAATTCTAAGTATGCTATCTTGATTCAATACATTGCAGAGAGGTTTGACACCTCCATATGTTGATGATGGCCTTTTAGAGGTGGTTGGTTTTAGAGATGCCTGGCATGGGCTTGTTTTGCTTGCTCCAAATGGACATGGAACTCGCCTTGCTCAGGTGTGTGGTGCATATTTGCATTTGTACTTATTGATACTCAGGCCACATTCTTCTTTCTAAATCAAACTTTTTGAAATATTTTTCAAAAGTTGATTGCTCAATTGTGGGTTTTTGTACCTATTATTAATTTCGATTTTAAAATTTAAAATGGCTTCAATTTATCTTTGGCATTAGGCACACAGAATCCGCTTTGAGTTTCACAAAGGTGCAGCAGATCATACATTCATGAGGATTGATGGGGAACCTTGGAAACAACCTCTCCCAATTGACGATGATACTGTTTTGGTGGAAATTTCTCACCATGGCCAGGTTAACATGCTCGCCACCCGTGAATCCAAGTCTAGAAGTGTGAATGATCCATCATCACCACACCATAATGATGCCGAGGAAGATGATAGTGACGACGAGGAATCTAAAGCAGATGAATTCCGCAAGTTTGGTGCGGCAGCTACATTTAAAATTCCAGATGAGGTAGACCTTGCTCATCTCAGTTAGTCCTTCATATTATGTGGCCATTCTTTAGGGTTATGCAGTAGACATTGCGTGCCTAGCTGTTTATAGGATTTCTACAAAATATTTATAGTTGTCCTTATCAACTTTCACCCATTTCCCCTATTTGTTCTATTCTATCAGCTTTATGCCTGTAAACATGTTAACAGTAATTTGTAATTAATAATTGAAATTCTATACATGCTTTGTTCTAAACGTTTACATATTTTTTCTCAATTTCTGTTTCTGGGGGATAAATTGATACTTTATTTGCATTATTTTGTCACGTCGATATTTTTCGCTTGAGTTGTTATTGTCTTTGTCACGCTTTAATTAAATTTTTTTCTTTCTTACAATTCACTTTTTTTCTATTGGGACAAAATCTCATCACCTTTTCGTTACACTTCTCTTTTAAGTCAAAATAAAACAACCCTTAAAGATTTTTTCCTTTCCTTCACAAAAACTACAGCATGACATCACTTCCAAAATTCTGTTTTATTCTAAAAATACAAAACTATAGTTTTCTTTTGATGCATCAAAAATAAATAATAAAATAGAAAGCAGCTCATCACTTTGTCTTACGCTTACATACTAGTGCTTTAGATGATATCCTTTTATTAGAAAGAACCGCGAGAAAAAAAAATTCAAATTTATGTTTTTTGGGATTTTAAAAAGAAAAATCACAAAATATGCCACAGCACTCCTCACCTGTTTTACTTTTCGCGCACTACACAGAAAATATAAAGGTTTAGCTCTTCACTCCTTTGCAACCAAACTATTCATGCTTTTTATTTCTTATCTATTTTCTTGCTCTTCTTTCTCAATTTCATGGCAGCCACTCACATCGTTAACTTTATAGGAAAATACTATTATATTTTTTTCTAAACCCAATGCCTTAGACGTGCTTTTTTCCCCATGCTCACAATATCAATTGGTACTCAAATATAATAACGGATGTTACAAGCGAAAATTCATTAAACTTTTGATAAGTTAAAAGCGTAATATTTTGTGTAAGGATTATAAGAGCACCTCCAGCGGAGGGTGCTTCGGTTGCTTTTTTTTTTTTTTTTCAGTTGTTTGTCCAAGGAACGGTGGTTAGCACTGACAAATTTGAAAAAGAGAAACTTTGAAAAAGAGAAACGTGATTGGCTGATAGGAATCCAAGCGGAATATGAAAAGGGTTTTGAAAATAAAAAAAATAAATAAAACCTCCATCTTCATGTTCTTCCTCCATTGGGCATGTGCGAAGGCCGCTGGACGTTGGAGGAAGGGTTGTCGACGCCGGCAACCGGTCGCCGGTCGCACATCGCCGACGGCGCGTCTCCGGCCGCGCTTAGCCGTCCGGGCCATGGAGCAACCCCCGTAACCCGCGCGACTCCACCGTCATGAGTACCTCTGCACGCGCAACTCCGTTGAACCAGACCTCACCGGTGCGGAACCGCCTGACCAGCCCGATGAGACCCCCGGTCCGCGCGCACCTCTGCTCGACTAACCCCTTCTGCGCGCGCGACCTCCGACGACAGAACCCACCAGTCCGCGCAGGACCTCCGAACGACAGAACCTTCCAGCGCGCAGCTCCGCACGAGAGACCCCTCCGCGCGCGCGCCTCTCCGCACGACAGAACCCTCCACGCGCGTGCGGCTTTGCACGACTAACCCCTCCGTGCGCGCGCCTCATCGCACGACTAACCCCCGGTGAAAGCTTGAGTGAAGAGAAAGAGAGTGAAGGGAAAGAAAGAGAAAGAGGGAGGTAAATTAAAAAAAAAAACAAGAGACTTTGGTATTTCTTTTTTTTTTTTATTATTATAATTTTTGATATTTCTTTTTATTATTGTAATTTTTTATATTTTTTTTATTATGTAATATTTTATTATTATTGAAATTAAATATTATTGTAATTTTTGTTTTTGTTAGTTATTTATATTTATATATTATTTATAATAATTAATTTTATAAAAATTTATTATAAAATATAGTATGAGGTGTTAAAAAGTGTAGTATGAGTTGTAAAAAAAATAGAAGTTCTTATAAGCAATTTTCATTGGAGTAAAAATTGTAAAAATATAGTATGAGTTGCTTATGAGTGACGTGACACAGTAAGACCCATTTAAAGTGGTGAAAAGTTGCTTATAAGCAACTCCCATTGTAGATGTTCTAAGTCAGTAGTATCTATGCTCTTTTTACCCTCTTTATTCTACACTTATTTATTGTTTTATAGTTCAGAGGAACAATAGTAAACGGCTTATCAACTATCTAAAAATTGTATGACTTCTACCATTTTCTGACACACATGTATAGCAGAGGTCTATATCTAGTTTAAAGTAATCTTGACCTTTGCATTCTGCTGCTCGTGTGATAGTGCTAAGACTATTTCATCACTGGTCTCGGTAAGGAAGAAACAGAAGACCATACACATTATTATTATAATAAGAGTATGGTGCACACGCTAAGATAAATTTGTGATTAATGATAGCAAATTTAAACAATGAAAATGATATGTGAAAGGTGTTACACCCTGAAATGTCAAAACAAATAGTGATATCTAGAACATATGTTTTGAGACTTGCGTTTGAGGGCCACAAAATACATTTGTGACCACAAGGTGAGTTGGACGGATAAACTAATAGTGGGTTTGGCGAAACAAGGATTTAGGTGGATCACAATGACCGGAGCTTACAATTTACAATAAGTATATATAAAATCAAGGATATGTTCTAAATTGCACACTATAGAATAAAGCAGATAATAATAATTTTTGTTTAATCAACGATTGAGATTATAATAAATTTCAAATTTACTTTACACATGTTTTATTAAAATCACTATCATTGATAATCAATTGTTATTATTATACTTTATCCATTGAAGTGTACTCTTGTCTTTAGATGATTCAAATCCTGCTAAATTAAGATGATAGAAGTTCCGACTTTGCTTAATCCAACTCAAAGATCAACAAAAATAAATTGTGAAGGATAAGTCTTCAGTAGGAGATTGTTTCAGAAGGCCATAACTACAGACAAGGCAATCGTTGTCCCAAACATTTTGTGATGGCCTCATTAGCCTTCTGTGGTTCAGCCCTTTCTTCTTGTTTCTTCTTCTCCCTGAAGCAAAATATCATTTCAATGAATCAAAACCTTGCTGAGGAACAAGCAAGTTATAACTGTAAATCTGTCGCATATACTAGTACAAGAATTACATTCACCTATTATATCTCAAATGAAAAGTAATGAGAACACAGAAAAACAATTGAAGGGAATTGATAGGTTTGATGTTTACCTGTCAATATACTCCTTTAGCAGCTCTTTTGCTTGAACCAACTTTGAAAGCAGGGTACGATACACATCCAAGTCCCGATCAGCACTTCTTTTGTTGATGTTCAAAGCCGCAAAAAGCTGTTCAGTTGACACGAAAGATGAATTCACAATAACTACAAACACTAATTAGGATGTACGAAATAGAAACTTTTACAATCATGAGACTGAGATCAATCCCTGGAGGAACACATCAGGTCAAAGCTATTAGTCACTTCAAAATATGTTAGAATTTATTGATTTGTAGTTTACTAGAACACTTGTAAATGAAAACTAGACTCGGTAGCTTCAACTTCAAATTGCAAAATCAAATACTGTAATGAAATGAGTATTTGAAAAAATCCAAATCATAAGTTTTAAATGAATTGGTTTAACCTACCACCTTGGTGGCTTCATTAAACTTTGAGTTCAAATCAACAGTTAGAAACTGAATAGCAACAAATATATGTACAATTATATAAGCAACAAATACAAAGCATGTATGTAGATTGAAGCAGGACATACTTAATGGCTTTAATGATTTGCTGAACTTGTTCTTTCTTAGTGCCCTTGATGATGTTGTTGGCATGGTCTTCCTGGTTGGCAGCAATGAAATCCGGGTCATAGATTCCAGGGAGTGGAACCATGGATTCCATGTAAGGCCTCAACTGCTTCTGCAGATCGATGGCAAACACCTTGGCCTTGGCATCAGCCAAGTTCATGTCACTCATATCCCACCCACCCCACCCATCCCCCCCCACCCCCCAGAAAAAAAAATAAATAAATAACACAATGTCATCAGGGTTAACCTGCCAACAGATTTCAACACCATAAGCTAAGCATATAGTCACTCACATAATTCATAACACCTTATATTGACTTTGAGGTGCACTCTGGAACTCATCCTCACCTTGGTGTTGTGGACCACATACGTTTTCAACCCCTTGCTTGGTGCTTCCTTGGATCAAGCAGCTACCATTGCTAGGTGTTTAGCAACAGACATGGGTTCTAGCCTTCAAGGTTAGTTCTATTGATATTTTTGGTTTAAGGGTCTTCAATTTTGCTTAACTAGTATTATGCTGCATCAGAAGATTGTAATCACTCTTGGCGTTTAAAAAAATACAAAGGTATTGTGTAGATACCGAACATGGTGATGTTAGAAGTTGAACAATATTTACTTAAGATTTTAATGGTTATACACTATTAGTTACTCTGTCAACCAATCAGAACTCATTACTATTATGACTTTTAAGATAATTAATATAAAAGTCAACAAACCTATCATACATGAAACTTTGTAATTGGATGCATACACTGTTAGTATATAGTGTATTTTCTCTTTACTAATTTAGAGCATTAGAGATAATGTGCAATAGAGATGAAGAAGAAATAAGGATGAACACAGAGGTTTAATGTAAACAATCATTGACTGAAAAAAATACCAAGGCAAAAGAGAAGCAAATTCACTGTATCTAAAATTTGTGCAAACAGAATATAAGAAGAGTGGCTGTAGTGTCTAACTGACTATTTAGAGAACCCACAAACATTATTATACTTGTGCATATAAAACCTTAGCTCAAAAAACATAGAAGTTCACCACACCCCAAATGTGATCAGTGGTGGGCTGTAGTCGCCTATCAGTTCTATCACCATGGATTGCCTAAAAAAATCTCATTTTATTCTACAAATTTGGTATCACCAGTGAACTGTTCAGCCCGGATCAATAATTTGAGTTAATCTTCTAGATTAATATACATGGGAAAATCAAATATCCTCCAATATTATGGAGAGAAAAAAATTCCTTGAACCCCATTCATACTTGGCTAAGAATCATGTATGGCTAAATCTTCTTAGCTCCCAAATTTCAATTTGTTTGGATATTTTGTTGTTTGTACGTGATTAGTTTTATAATTACTACTTTACATGCTGATATTATAGAAATGTCAATCATCTTTGTAAACTTATATGTTTCCATGCTAATGATCGTTAAAATTATGTGCAGTTCCCACTTCTTATCTTTGAATTTTTACTTCACATACCTTTTCAAAAGCTATTGAACATTTGAACTGACTCTAAAAGATGTCATTCTAGCTTCTAACTTGCCTCCTAATCTGCTTATCCTTCCAATGAACAATGTTCAGTATACAGAAACGTAAAAAGATGGGTGAACCTAACCTCGTTAAGACTTCTAGTCAAACTTTTATTCCACAGAATGAATGTTAAAAAACCACTTAGACACTGCAAGTAAAAAAGAGAAGAGAAAGAACAACAAGAACATTTGGTTCAGCTAATTATAGAGAAAAAATCAGTTATTTCTGTTGGCTTCCTGATTGCTTTTGAAGTATAAGATTATTTTTCAAGAAATAACTGAATCAAAGCATGCAATTATATGGATAAATCATAAGCAAACATAAATCCCGAGTGAATCGACAAGCAAAATTATAGGATGAAAGTGATTATATATTAAGGTTGAAAATTGGTAAAGTTTAACCCCACTATTGCAGCCCAGTTTACATACAACATGTACACATCCCTCCAAATACATTACCTCTGGCTCTAAGAACTTGACCATTTCAGTAACAAAATGGCCAAATAACAGTATGCTTAACAAGCTGGTTTAACCTACAGACCCCTCAAGTTTCAAGCTCATGAGTTGGTTCACCTCGGAACCAAATTCGTCAGGAAGCTCATTAAAGACATCACGGCAAAATCCAGAAATCATAGCAGCCATTGCCCTTTCATAGTCTATTCCCCTTTGTTGAAAATAAAACAATTGATCTTCTCCAATTTTGGACGTACTAGCCTCATGTTCAATTCTTGCCGTTGGATTTTTCACCTGCAAAACAATTGTGATTTCATGAGCAAAACAGAACTGGACATGGAAAGTCTCATAGAGTAACTGCATAACGACGGTTTTGAAAAGGCAAAGAATAACTCCTTCCCCTCTGATACACACACACACACCTAAACCATTAAAGAAATTATCAAAAAGAAAAAAGGTAAAGGACCTGGATGTAAGGATAGGTATTGGCAGCAGCTTTGTCACCAATAAGCATAGAATCACACTGAGATGAGTTACGCGCATTCTCTGCTCTGGACTGAACCTGAACAAGGCCTCTATAACAGTTTCTGGAATGGCCAACAGATATACCCTTGGAGATAATCCTGCTCCTAGTGTCCTTCCCTTTGTGAATCATCTTAGTCCCCGTATCAGCCTGCTGATAGTTATTAGTCAAAGCAACGGAATAAAACTCCCCAACGCTAGAATCTCCCTCCAAAACCACACTCGGATACTTCCACGTGATAGCGGAACCCGTCTCAACCTGCGTCCACGATATCTTGGAGGAAGCCCCAGCGCAGAGCCCTCTCTTGGTGACGAAATTGTAAACCCCACCGTTCCCCTGCTCGTCCCCAGCGTACCAATTCTGCACCGTCGAGTACTTAATCTGGGCCCCCCGGGCGCAGTACAGCTCCACCACCGCGGCGTGAAGCTGGTTCCGGTCGTAAGACGGCGCGGTGCAGCCTTCAAGATACTCCACAAAGCTGTCATCGTCGGCGACGATGAGAGTCCGCTCGAACTGCCCCGTCTCGAGGGCGTTGATTCTGAAGTAAGTGGAGATCTGCATAGGGCACGTGGTGCCTTTGGGGATGTAGCAGAAGGAGCCGTCGCTGAAGACGGCGGAGTTGAGGGCGGCGTAGTAGTTGTCGTCGGAGGGGACCACTCTGCCGAGATAGGTCCGGACCAAGTCCGGATACTCCCGGATGGCCTCGGAGATTGAGCAGAAGATGACGCCGGCCTTCTGGAGCGTCTGGCGGTGGGTGGTGGCGATGGAGACGCTGTCGAGGACGGCGTCGACCGCCACGTTGGCGAGGCGCTTCTGCTCGCTGAGGGGGACGCCGAGCTTGTCGAAGTAGCGGAGGAGCTCGGGGTCGGCTTCGTCGAGCGTCTGCAGAGAGGGCTTCTTCTTGGGAGCGGAGTAGTAGCAGATGTCTTGGAAGTCGATGGAGGGGTAGGCGTTGTCGGACCAAGAAGGCTCCTTCATGGAGAGGAATTTCTCGAAGGCCTTCATGCGGAACTCCAGCATCCACGAGGGTTCCTCCTTCAGGGAGGATATCAGACGAATCGTTTCCCTCGAGAGCCCCTTCGGGATGGAGAACGACTCGATGTCCACGCTGAACCCGAACTTGTTGTCGTAGTCGCGGTTCCGCAGGATTTCGCGGATCTTTTCGTCCGAGGTGCTGCGCTCGTAGCTCAAGTCGGCGCGTACCGCTACGCTGCGTGACGGTGGCGGCTTTTGTGGGAGGGTTGCGGGGTGGAGGACTCGCGAGTCGCCACTGAGTTGGAGAGCGCGCGTGTGTGTGAAGACCCCGTTGCAGAGAAGAGAGGCCATGGATGGTGATGATGATGATGATGATGATGATGATGATGATGAGATTCAGCTGCGTGTGCTCCGTGCGCGATTTCGATTTGGGAATTTTGTGCCCTTTTGTCTGGCTTGTGTTTGTGTGTGCGCGACGCGCACCGCCTCTTCGTTCATTTATTATCACAAAAATTTCCAATACCCTTTTATTTAAATGATTCTTGTTTACTTATTCAACTTTTTCATATGTAATAATGTTAAAATATAAAATATATTTTTATATTTTAAAAATAATTTCCATGATAAGTTTAAGATTGTTAATGTGAATGACAAACAAAACCACCACAAGCTTTTGTTTTTCTAGATGAGCTTCAGGCTTCAAATATAAAATATTTTTCTCAAAGGTGAGATTTATGAAAGGGTGAACAAAATTGCTGGACGGAGGCTGAAGAAGATTTTAGCGGGAGAAGATCCAAGCTCCACTCAAATATTTCTTCCAAGTCTGAATCTTTTGGCCCCTAATATTCCAAATTCGGAGACTTCAGATCTCGGGTATACCATTGTGATCCGGAAGTATTGTTTTTTGTTTTGCTCTGAACACTGTTTTCCCGGAAACAATAAGTGAAGGAAGGGCGCAATTGGGGTTTGGAGAAAGTTGGGAGATGAGGCTGTGTGTATGCGCGACACGCACCGGTTCCTTCGTTCATCTATTATTAAAAAAATAGAAATATTGATTAACAACATTTGAGATAAGGTTTTGTTACTTTGCCTATGGTCTGAAATGGATTGTGGCCACAGGTTTCAAGGTAAGTGATTTTTGTTCTCTCACTCACTCTACAATCCACATAGGTGTAACGAAACATGTTGAAGTCCATTGTGGGTTGCTGCAAGGTATACATATCAGAGAGCAGAAACCGGAGTGCATTGGAATCAATAGAACGAGCTTCCAAGCTCTACCCTTTGGCTCCCATAATCAACAAGTTCCAAGATGTGGCCTACAACAGAGTTGGTTACACTCTTGTCTCTCAATTGGGTCCTTCAGGGCCATGCCACTTGGCAAATGCTGTGTTGGCAATGGTCAGGGCTGCATTTGACACCATTGACTTTGAGGTGCACTCTGGAACTCATCCTCGCCTTGGTGTTGTGGACCACATATGTTTTCACCCCTTGCTTGGTGCTTCCTTGGATCAAGCAGCTACCATTGCTAGGTGTTTAGCCACAGACATGGGTTCTAGTCTTCAAGGTTAGTTCTATTGATTGGTTGGTTTAAGGGTCTTCAATTTTGCTTAACTTGTATTATGCATTTATGCTGCATCAGAAGATTGTCATCACTCTTGGCAATTTAAAAAAAAATAGAAAGGTATTATGTAGATACCTAACAGGGTGATTTTAGAAGTTGAAAAATATTTACTCAAGAGTTTAATAGTTATGCACTCTCAGTTACCTGTCAACCAATCAGAACTCATTATTGTTATGACTTTTAAGATAATTAATGTAAGTCAACAAACCTATCATACATCATAGTTTGTGATTGGATATTTACATTGTTAGTATATAGTCTATTCTCTCTACTAATTTAGAGCATTAGAAATAATGTGCAATAGAGATGAAGAAGAAAGAGAGTTGAACACACAGGTTTAATATAAACAATCCTTGACTGAAAAAAACCTAGGCAAAAGATTAGCAAATTCACTTTATCGAAAATTTGTGCAAAAAGAATATTAGAAAAGTGGCTGTAGTGTCTAACTGACTATTTAGAGAATCCACCAGCACTATCATATTTGTGCATATAAAACCTTAGCTCAAAAAACATAGAAGTACACCACACCCCCAAATGAGATCAGTGGTGGGCTGTAGTCGCCTATTAGTTCTATTACCATAGATTGCAAAAAAAAACTCAAATTTTATTTTACAAATTTGGTCTCTCACTAGTGAACTGTTCAGCCCAGATCAAGAATTTTAGTTAATCTTCTAGATTACTATAATATCAAGAATTTGAGTCAATTAAGAAAATCAAATTTCTTGAACCACATTCATACTTGGCAAAGAATCATGCATGTCTTCGTGGCTAAATCTTCTTAGCTCCCAAGTTTCGATTTGTTTGGATATTTCCTTGTTTGTACGTGATTAGTTTTATAATTACTACTTTACATGTTCAGATATTATAGAACTGTGAATCATCTTTGTAAACTTATATGTTTCCATGCTAATGATCATTAAAATTATGTGCAGTTCCCACTTATCTATATGGAGCAGCACATGAAGAGGGGAGGACACTTGATTCAATCAGAAGAATATTTGGTTATTTTAAACCAAATTCTAGTGAAAACCAGTGGATTGGGGGCCTAAAATCAGACACTTTGCCACTGAATCCTGATAGTGGTCCTTCTCAAGTTACTCCAGCCAAAGGTGTTGTGGTCATTGGAGCAACTAACTGGGTTGATAACTACAATGTCCCTCTATTATCTTCTGATATTAGTGTTGTTCGGAGAATTGCAAAACGGGTCAGTGGAAGAGGTGATGGACTTCCTTCTATACAGGCCATGGCACTTGCACATGGTGAGGGTGTCATTGAAGTAGCATGTAATTTGTTGGATCCAAATAAAGTTGGTGGTGAAAGAGTACAACAAGAAGTTGAGAGCCTTGCAAGGGAACAAGGTATTTCTGTGGGAAAGGGATACTACACAGACTTTTCACAGGATCAAATAGTTTCAAGTTACTTGAAGTTGTTTCAAGAGAGAAGTTGAGGTTTAGAGTTTATGGTTTAGGTTACAAACCAATTCGATTAGGAATACAAGATGGGGCAAAATTCTTGTAGTTTATATATATTTGATGTAACCTAATTCTTATTAATAATAATAGAAATATAATTGTTCTGCCACATTGGTTAAATTCGTCAAAATCATTATTTCTGTGTGAATGTTTATTATGTTCTTTTAAAGTCCGGTTGCTATTGCTAACAAAATGTTTATAATAATTTATTGAATTTTAATTTTTTAGTTACTAATTTTTTTACATTGTTAACTAATTTGAAGTTGCTCATGAAATGTATCAAGTTGGTACCAGAAGATATTCAGCGCCCCTTCTGATCAGTTAGGTTCAGTGTTGGTGAGTCAAAACCTGCCTAAATCACACTGTGCAGGGAAGATGATACATGAAGTTGAAGGATCAGTTGAGTTGGAAACCGAGCTTTCTTTCAGGTCTCCTATATCAGATTTGGAAAATGACTTATTTGGTAAAGCAGTAAGCACACAGAGCAAAGACACTTGTGATGATTTGTCAGGATCATATAATAACTTGTCCGAGAAGAACTTCCATTCACCATTGCTAGAGCCACGGAGTCAAAGAGATGAAGCTGCACTGAAGTTGCAAAAAGTTTACAAAAGTTTCCGGACTAGGAGGCAGCTTGCAGATTGTGCAGTTCTTGCAGATCAGCGATAGTTAATTTCAATTTCAATACATGCACTTATTGGGAGAACAAAATATTGGACTATATATAAAAATTTAAGCCAATTGAATGGAAACATATTTTTAGATTAAGGAGTCTTCGAAAGATTTTATAAAAGATTTAAGAAAGGAATAACATGGGCTTTTATATCTCTGATGCCTGTAGAATCTTTATCAAACATTATGGTGTTCATAATCTTATGTTATTATACTACATTTTTAATTATAGGTGGAAAGGCTTTGGATTTTTCTGAACTAAAGTGCAGTTCTATATTATTTTTTTGACACTGAGAAACACGAGACTGCTGTTTCACGTTGGTCAAGAGCTTGAATGAAAGCTGCAAAGGTAATTTCTTCTCATATGACTTGTATTATAGGTTGAAAGACTAGTAAGTAACTTTTTTGTTCTCGTTTTCATTATATTTAATAGGTTGGAAAGGGTTTATCTGAGGAAAGGAATGCTCGTAATAATAACATAAGATTATGAACATTATAAGGTTTGATAAAGATTCTACAGGCACAAGAGATATAAAAGCATGTTATTCCTTTCTTAAATCTTTTATAAAATCTTTCCAAGACTCCTTAATCTGAAAATATATGCTTCCATACAATTGACTTAAACTTTTATATATATTTCGATATTTTCTTCTTATACGTGGATGAACATCTTCAATAGCCATTACAGAAAATACACATTAAAAGAGGGGAGATACAATGCATCGCATTTTTAACAAATTTGCCTTGAAAACTAACTAGTTTGAATATCTTTTTCTGATAGACCTGCAATTATGATATGCTCATATGTAGTTTTAGCTGCTTCTCTCTTTTGTCTGATACCCTCGTTCATCTTCAATGATGTCTAAAAAATTTATTGAGTTGATGAACAACTTTGGTTAAACTTACATGTATGCAATACAAATGTGAAAATGAAGAATCATCTTCACTCTCCACATTAGTTTTGCTCTCCATTTCTCCACTAGTGCTTGCAATAGCTTAATTATGCTTTTCATGAAGTTCTTTATCTTGATGCTCTATTACACAACGAATATCAGACACAGTATTATATTGAACGACTTATCATAAAGTTACAGTATAAAACATAAAAAACAGGAATCCTGAGGAAGATATTTCCTTAGAAGGAAAAACCTTGACCCCATTAGACCAATCATGACAAAGAACAAACATAAGTGGGGCCAAAGCACGACAAGGGGAAAATGGCTTTCTGCTCTTAGAATGTTCCCTTGTAGTATACAATTGTGTAGCCATCCATTGAGAACTTCAATATATGAGGTGTGGCTATTGATCCAATTTAAAAAACTTAGACCAAATCACTCCAACTCTTTTAATAGTTGAGTCATTATCTCTCTTTGCGTATCTACTTTCAAGCATGGATGAGGATAGGTCAAGCCTTAAATAGGAGCGTATGACCTAGCTTTTTTAAAATCTAGTTTGGTTTGATCTGTTTAATAAAAAAGTCAGGTTTAAGCTTTAAAAAAGCTTATTTATATAAAAAGATCAAGTTTAGACTTATAAAAAAACCAATTAGACCTTAAAAGTTAGTCTATTTATTTATATAATATTATAAAAAAAGTATTATTAAAAATATAAATAAACAAATAAATTTATATAAAAAAATTATCAATATTTAAAATATTTTTTATACAATTATTTTTTTTTCATTATAAGATTTATAAATTTACAACCTGTGTATTGGTATAAATCAACATACATGGTTACGCATGAATTGTCCCTTCAATAGAAAATGATTCATTTTTCTTATATATTTCTTTTAAATTTTAAATTCTAATAATATTGAGTAAATTATATTTTAAAAATAATTTTTTTTTAAATTAAGTTTATTGACTTAATTAACATTAATAATTTAAATAGGCTAATAGGTCAAGTCAGACTTATAAAAAAAATATATGATAGATAATAAGTCAAACTTAGATTTTAATTTTGCAGAAAAAATCCAACTTATATATTCAAAATCTGGCATGATCCACCTATTTTCATCCCTACTTCTAAGGTTCCTGTTAAGTTCCTTGAATAATAAGCCAGGGAGATTTTAATGTGTTGTGCATGATGACATCCAAACATAGCCTTCCACATCCTCATCAACAACCTGCACTACTAACATTTTCATAAACCAATATTACAACAATTTAAGGTCATATGTTTGATGAACTTCTTTGTAAGTACTCAAGAAAAAAATAAAGGTAAAATGAATTGAATTTCTCATCTAAACCAAAATCAATTTATGTACTTCAATTTTTAGAGAAGTTAGATGAGAGAAATTTTAACTTAAAAAGGAAGAATTCAAATCATTTTATCTTCTTATTTTTTCCTTAGATAAGTTTATGAAAAAGTTTATTAAACATGGTCTTACACTTATAATTAAGGAATTATAGAGCCCTTAAGTGATAGCAAATCACTAGTAAAGCTTCATGTTGAGAAGCACAATTCCAAAATCCTAACTTACCTAGAGTTAATTCCAAAAATTGTGAGAACAATGTTTCATCTCTCATCCTCTCAATTCGTTTAGATGTTAAATCAACAGAATAATGACTTATCAATGCAGGTCCCTCACTATTGATTGGATTTTGTCAATCATTTGAGTGTCTTGATCTTTTGTAAATTGATGTCCAAGCTTATTACATTTTTGATCAAACTCCTTACCGATGAATTCACCATCCTACAAACAACCCAGTAGGAATTTAGTCAACAAGATAAGAGATTTAAAACACAAAAATAAGATGTGCAAGTTGCAATGAGAGACCAGACAGAATGTAAATGTTATTGCAGGGACAGAAGAAATATAAGATCATCCAGAAAACTTTAGAACCATTGAAGTAGTTAACGGCTATATATAATGCTTTTTAAATCCATATCTGTTGACATCCTTTATTCATGAGCCTTGCGGCTCCTACTGAGTCTGTTTCAATAATCAAGTTCTTGAAACTCTATTAAAACAAATTTAACAAAATAATAGATGGCTTAGATTTCAACTTTTACCATAGAACAATTTCTGAAGGCAATTGCAAAAACTGTAATGAAACAGCCATAATGATCGTGCAGATATGTAAAGTCCGTTAAAGTTAATGATACAAATTAACGAAAAGGATGAAAATAATATCCTATTCTATATATGAGGACTAAAATTAAGCTAAAAATTTTAGGGAAACTAAAAGCAAAAATACATCAATTTTATAGAGATTGAAAATATATTTAATTTTAATTTAAAAAAATTTATTTTCAGATGTAATAAATAATTTTAAAATAACATTAATTATGTTCACATATAATTAAAGATAATTGGCTTAAAATGGACGTCATAGGATGTCAACAAATTTTTTTTACAAGCTTGGTTCTAAGACATTTTTTTTATAGATTTTTTCATATTTTTCCATTAAGATTTGGCTCCTCATGTTAGGGAATTACTTAAAGAGTAATAACAACCATTAGTTAAAAATTAATAGTTGATATTATAATTAATTTAAAATTAAATTTTGCATGAATTTAATTTTATCACAATTTTTAATCATTGATTTTATAATTAATAATTATAAGTGTATTTTATCTTTTGTGATGACAATTTTTCTATTTTAACCTATTATTTTATCATCCTTCATGATCTTGGTAGAAACATATAACATATGGTTATTTTTAGTTACCCATAATTTGTTCTTAAAATATTAAAATTAATTTAAAAAATAAAAATAATATATCAAGAAGGATAAGATAAGATATTAAAAAAAATCCTTAAAAATGATATCATGAAAGAAAAACTTTTAAAACATTCTAATTAAAATATATTCTTAAAAATATATTCATTCAATATGGTATATTAAGTTATATTAAGAGAATTTATGATAAAAATAAATTATATTATAATACAATGTTATTTTAAACTATTGAAAATTTAAAATATTAAAATTTAATATATATATATATATAGGGTTATAATTACACTGGTGTAATTTTTACCAAGTATTACGCCACTCAATAATTTTATATTAAATGTGAATTTTGTAAATCCAACCGTTAGATTGAAAATTCATATCACTTCATATGTGTATATCAAATTTTGTTAAAATTGAACAACAACTTGAAAGTAATTAAAGTGTTCATATTTTAGTATATTTTGAAATAAATATATTACATCAATTTTGTTTTATAAGAATGAAGTATCAAATCATCTTGGATTAAGATAAAATTTTGTATATATGATCTAAGAGTAAAGAACTTTCAATCTAACGATTGAATTTACAAAATTCAAATTTATTATAAAATTATTGAGCGGTATAATACTTAATAAAAGTTACATCGGTGTTATTATAACTCCCTCATATATATATATAGAGAGGGGGGGGATTAAAAGAGATCAAAGTTTAAGGAAAAAAAATCTCTCAAATTACTCAAACCGAATAAAAACTCTTTAAGAAGTTATAGTTAAATAGTAATTTTAAGCCTTAAATATGTTATTATCTCATATAAAATGAGCGTGTTTTGAATTGATCATAGTAAAATAATTAGTTTTAATCCTTTTAAAATATGTAAACATTGATTTTAGGTTTTTAAACTCTTATAATATTTTTGATTCATGTAAAATGAGTAAATTTTTATTTTGATTCCTATAAAAATATTTTTTTTATTTTCATACCTCTAAAATCTAAAATCATTATTTTTTATCACTAATGATAATTTTAAGATGTATATATAACGTTTATTTTAAAGACCTATGAAACCTTTTAAAAGTATTACACGTTAATATGATACCACTAACAGTTGTGGATGACATCTAAGATAGTCATTTAACATTTTAATGAACAAATAAATAGTTAAAATAATTATATAAAAATAAGGACTAAAAATAATAATTTAAATTTTTTGAGGGACCAGAAACACAGAAAAAATTTTACAAAACTTACTCATTTTGTTGGGATTAAAATTATGTTTAAGCTTAATTCTAAAATTTCATTCAAAATAGTTATTTTAATTTATATATAAAGAAAAATTGTGATGACTAATTCATATTCATATTATGATACAAATTTTTTTTTAATAATTAATAAAAAAAATTATAGGATAATTAAAAAAAATTAAAAAGTATTAAATTTTAATTTAAAAAATAAGAAAATGATAAATTAAAAGAAAGGAGAGTTGAAAAATGTCAACTAGTATTTTCATTAAGAAAAACCCTAAAAGTGCTTTCAGGAAAAATAAACCATACTCTCAATTAACATAATTATTTTAAGTTATATATATATATATATATATATATATATATATATAT